ACATGGATTTATACCTGCCAACTTTTTCTGAGATATAAGCGTGAGATTTTTATCCTGGGAGTGCTGGGATTTTTGAAGACAACACGATCATTTCCGAAGATTCCCGAAGAAGTCTGAAGTCTTCCGAAGAAGTCCGAAGTCTTCCAAAGATGTCTGAAGTCTGCCAAAGGTGAAGTTATCGAGAAAACGCTTATCCACAAAATCAGAGATCGCGAGTAAGGTATTGTCATTTATTCATTTTACACATGGTTTTCGTTCCTTACATGGGTCTGAGTAATTTTTGGAAATTGTGTCAAGCAAGACGGCAACAACTCACATTTTTCAATCAGGCGTGAGAAATTGGCCCGCAAGCGTGAGCTGGCGTGAGATCAAAGATTTCAATCCGCAGGCGCGTGAGAGTTGGCAGGTATGGATGTGCTTGCTCAGGAGTGAGAACTAGGAATAAAGGAAGACTAGAATGTTCATGTTCAATGCTCATGTTGTCTCATAATTCCATCCTTGGATTTCTAAGTTCCAACAAGCGTGGTGTTTTGAAAATTTTGGCACTGGGCTTCCTTGCTCATTCTGTTATATTTCCCTAAGTCTCCATGCAGACTCGACAGTACATGTACAGCTGTAATTGCCATTTTTCTAGTGAACCAGCCATGAATACTTTTTCAGCCACGGCTTGAAGAATTTTGTTTTCTTAATGGATTAAGCTTGGGCTGTTGTAGCATTTGTAGCATCATCTTTTTCAGTTGCATTTGCTGGTTCTTGTCCTTTTTCTTCTTGATGTTAACCCGCAAATGAGAGCTGTGTTTGCCCCTCCACAGGCCTCTAGGCATGTAACTTTTTTCTTCAGTGGCATTTATTAAATTTCACCAAAGAAAAATTAAATTTTCATGCAGTAAATTTAAATAACTCGTGTGCAAGCAACAGGACATTAAGACAGAAAACATGTGTGACAAGTTGAAGAACTAACACTTCTGTAACCACTGACCATGAACAAGGCAGCTGCCTTACGAGTGACTGGTCACCAGAGGCCTCTACAATTTGCTTGTGGGCAACTAAAATTTTAAACAAGGAGCCCGCACTGTTGCCTAAAACTTATGATTCTTATGGCAATGGCCTCTTTGCCTACTTCCAATGAAGGAACGACAGAATTTCCTGCTCATTTTATGCTTTTGAAATGAAAACGTAAAACATGTGTTCTTTGGCTGTAGGCAAAAAATTTCTGCTGATAAAAGTAAACAAACAAGCGCTTTTCTGGAAAATTCCATTAACTCGAATGAATCGAGATGCATAAATCAAGTTTTGAGCATCTGCTTACTTATTTAAGTTTATCAATCAATGGGCGCCTGGAGTGTGGCTTGGGTTCCTACAAGTTTATTTTAGGAGCTCAAGGGGCTCCCCAAAAAATTTTCTTTGGCAGCAGCCTTCATGAACAGTGAGCCTGTAATGGAGTTGGCTGTATGATCACACACTATACTTACTTGGCTTAATAGGGACCTTAAGCAGCCAGGATTGCAGAGAACAACACAATTGATGACTAAGAATTTTTCCTACTATGCAAAGGATTTAAATCAGTAAACCGTTTATCAGATGAAAGGGCTTGAATCGAATCAAACAGAACAGAGCTGGTTTTGTTGTCCTATACATTTTACAGGAGTTTAATTGCCGGAGGCAAGATTTCCGTACAGTCCAATTCATTTATCTAATACAGATATACCACTCTATTCACCTTGATCAAGTTTACCGGGAACAGTACATATGAAATACAGTGAAAATCTTGCTCTCAAAATTTCTTGCTCCATCAGCCCAACCTTCAACAAAAAGTAAAAAATTATGTTTTCTTTTTTCAAACGTTAGTATTAAACAAGGTAAAATGGGCCCAGAAACAAAAAGATTGCTTTGAATGCTCACGTTCACCTGAGGACAGCAAATCAACAGTTGTCACCTCCTGAACGCCACGTGGACGACATCACTGACAAGCGTAGAAGTTGCTGGCTTCGTGAGAACACTTCCGGTCAGCGTCCACTTGGCTTGTCGTCTAGGTTGCTTAAGGTCCATAATATTGCAAAGTTTTTTTGTAAACAGATTTTGTTTTGTGGTAATTTTTTGTGTCCAAAGGATTGCATGCAGGACTAAATTATGCATCTTTTTGGAAATTTATATGAGTCTGAGATGCGGGAAGTGCAGGTAGATGGATCATTGGGGGGTATGCGATTGGTGTGTTACAACTACTACCTAAGTTTGCATGCTGGCCATTTGCATGGGCCTTTGACAATTCTTCTTTTATATCCTGATGGGTGACTTGGAATCCTCCACACCTTCACTGAGCTGATGGGTTAAGCTGCTTTAGACGTAAACTACCTTTTCATGTGGCAGAGCTGGTGTTAGCATCAACTTTTGCCTTACAAAGATGATTGATTGTCATGATTATTAATTTGTTTTTATAAAGGATATATTTCCTGATAAAGCCACTGAAAGAAATATTCTGTCTTGTATTGTGAAGTGCCCTAGTAAAGGGTGTGCGTGGACTGGAGAGACCAGACATGCAGAGGTAAGGTAGAGTTGTACAAGAAGAAGGGGTATAGAATCGTTCTTCAATAATTAATGGGGGTCTCAGAAAATTTTGGCCCGATCTCGAAATCTCAGAAGCATTTATGATAGGTCTCCAAGTCTCGTTTTTGGGTGATTTTGCGTCTCAGAGTGCAGAATTTCTTAAGTGTTGGTCTTGAATTTTGAAACCCTAGGTCTCGCAGTCTCACAGAGTATCAAATGTACCATTGTATACCCCTAGAAGTACATGTTATTTCCCAACCATGACGTATTTCCAAAGACTAAAGAGGAACATTTATCTAAACTATCTGTTCCCTGTTTTTCTTGTTTGCATGTAGGGTGCAGGGTGAGATGAAAATTTAAAAAAACTGCTAAGTTCTCGTTGGGCATTAAGCTGTGATGAAGTTTACAAGGTTGCGGCAGTCATGCGTGCCTTAACCAACATATATTTCCACAAACATTTGTGTAATATCTTGGCTAAATGTTACTTGTCTATCAAACAACTTGCAGTTAAAACATTCTAGCCTGATGGGCCACTCCATTAGCTCCAGGCTATATCAAACATTACTTTTGTCTACCAGGTGTACCAGTTATATTCTTGCAGCATTTTATTATTACAGAATTATTAAGCGATAACACATCCATATGTTCCCTATAAATTTCACTTAAAGTGAAACCCAGTTTACTCTCATATTGTTTTAATGAAATTTCTGGAATTTTTTAGTGACCTTTTTCAATGAGGGTGTAAATCTAATTCAATGCCTTTTTTCACCTTTTCTAGGTCCATCTCGACATCTGTGGTTACAAGATTATCAGTTGCCCTAATTCTAATTGTCACTTTCAAATGAAAAGGATACTTGTGGGTGATCATGCAGCTAAGTTGTGTCAGTGGAGAATAGTGCACTGTGGTTACTGCAATGAGAAGCATATTAAGTGTGATGAAGAGGTAATTTAGTGTAGTGTGATTTGTGTTTGGGTTAAGATAACAAAATTTTAAGGATGGGCTTTGTAGAGTCTTAGAATAATTAATGAAGTGTAAATTATTTGTATATTGAAAATTTGATATTGAACATTTCTAAGCCCAAATGCAGATATGAGGGGATCCCTATAAAAAAAATTGTGATCCCAGCTAGTTTCTAAAATTGTAGGATTAAAAAAAAACGAAACAGAAAACTTATGCCAAGACGCCTAACAATTAGCTGAACAAGACACCTGCAAACATCGCTGAACACACTATGCGCAGCGATTTACAAGTACCAATAGTGATTTTCTCAATCACCAACTTTGCAATCTTTATTTATACCTTGCTTGTTTGTAGACTTGTTATTAAATTTCTTAATAATGTAATGCAACCCTGATTTAATGAAGGGCTTAGGGACTGGCAAAATGTGTTCATTATAAATAAAAAATTAATACTCATCAAAAATTTTGCCATTTCTGCATGATTGTCTTTAATCCCCTAGCTAGTTCTTCTGAACCAGCTGGCACTGACCAAATTTGGAAGATGCAGGAGTTATACCTTAAATCAGTAATGTTGTATATATTCTTTGCCAATATGCAATTGGAACCTCATTTCCAGGCAGGAGAGTGACAGCCTTGCTGTTATGGTCTGAATGCAGGACTTAAGAAAATGGCAAAAGAGTTTATGGCGAAATAGCTGAATTTGTAAAACTGAACAGAACAATTAAGTCAGAAGTGCATGAATACAAAATGGATGTCATCTACTTTTTGAGGAGTAACTGCAAGGAAAAAAAACATCTCTTCATATTCTGAAACTCTTGCCAAGAAAGAGCCAAATGTTTTTGTAAGAAAGTCTACAAGGAGAAAAGGATGTTAAGGAGTTAGAAACACATGTATTTTTAATAAATAATAACACAATGATATTGAATTTGGCTTCTATTTGATATGAAGAATTATGAAGACCTCAGATGTTGTTGGTGGATAACACCCTACTCAATCTGCATAATTCTTCTTTGTGGTTATTTGTAACGAGATTGCACTACTTCTCCATGGATGAGTAAGTCCACTGTCTTGAAGCGTAGTGGAATGTTTGGGGAAGTGGGGGCCTAGCATACCTAGCATGCTTTTCCTGGGATTAAAAATTAATCTAGAATTGTCCAAATGAGAGGCAGAGTGTTTTTTGTCATGGAACTGATAATATACTTCTTTCACCTTGTCCACAGAAACATGTCAGTGAATGTCCGAAGATACCTATCGATTGTTCTAATGGGTGTGGTCAGATCACTGCAAGAGAGGAGGTACAGTTAGAAGATAGCAAAATAGATTGGTTGTTTCTTTTCTTTCTCATAGCCTAGTTCTTGACGCGTCATGGAAAATAGCAGCTGTTCCTTTCTAGAGTAAGGAAATGGCTGTGTTTTATCAATCACAGGACTGAAGTAAAAGTAACAAAACTGAAGATGACAAATAAACGTGACACTGTTAAGCTTTTTACTTTTTCTTTTGAAATAGATGCTCGCAACATTTTAAGCTGTGCTCCTAAAATTTTCAGCTGTGCGCCTAAAACTTCGGGAGTACGCCTAAAAATTTACATCTGGTAGCACAAGTGCTCTCAAACTCAAATTTAAACTTTGAGCCCTGGATAACAGTAACAGTAGATTTTAATGCAAATCATCAAACTGATATAGTTATCCTCTTCAAGCCCGTTGTGTGTAAGAACAATAGGAAATGACGTTTATTCATTTCGTTAACACTAATAATTGAGTTTCATCTCTTTATTTAGATTGGAAATCACATTGAAACTGACTGCCCACTTACCATGATTCCCTGCCCTTATTTTTCAGTGGGCTGCAATACAAAGGTGTGAGTCTTGAGCTCCGTTGTAATTAGTTTCTAGGAATATATTAATCTATGTGAGACTTTGACTTGTTATAATGCATATCATAAGTAGCATTGTGAAACCGAGTGTACTTATAAGTAGTGGCCACTTTTCAGTTTTTTAAAAAGTATTTTTCTATTATTACAAAACACCTCGTTCTAGAGTGAAATTTGGTTCACCTCCGTATGGTGTCCCCTTTGGCCAGTCGTTCCCGAGTTCTTCCAAAATTCGTCGCGAAGTAACCAGTCAGCAAAGAGAAAAATCAAGAGACTGTGTAAGGCGTTAGCCAGCTGTTTGTTTCGGTTGGGCTTTTTCATCACACAATATCGATTCACTTTTCCCTGTTTTTATAGTCTCTGACCAAGCGGTCTCGCATAACCAGTCGAAGCTACGGCACGGCCAGTTGCATTGTGATAAACAAAACGACAAACTTTTGGGAATGAAAGTGGTAATGATGTGCTCATTATTTGCAGGTTCAACGTAAAAAATTGGCTTCCCATCTTCAATCTTCTACCGAGGCACATCTTGCTTTAGCCTGTGTGAAGTTGAGCGACACTCAAGAGCAGTTAGCAAATACACAAGCTGAGCTGAACCAAACTAAAATTCAGCTGAATGACGTACAAACGCAACTGGACGACACTCAGGCTCAACTATATAATACTCAAGAAACAACATGGAATTTGGAGAAGAAAATGGAAACGTTTGAGAGGCAGTTGAAAGAAAAAATGAATAAAGGGCAGGTGAACGTAGTTGTAGAAGAGAAGGTGATGCAGATGAAAAAGACAAATAGTTTTTTGTGGGAAATTCAAAATTTTTCTGAGGTATTGAGGCAAACAAAGGAATTGGGTAACGTCTTGCAAAGCGACCCATTCTACACAGAAAGTTGTGGTTACAAAATGCAGTTACTTCTCTATCCCAACGGTAACGGGTCTGGAGCGAACACTCACATTTCAGTATTCCTTAGCGTAATAGAAGGAGAATATGATTCTTTGTTATCGTGGCCCTTCATTACGGCTGTGAAGTTTACCCTTATTGATCAAGAACGCGTCCTACGGGAAAATGTTGATTTTTCCTTCACACATAAAGTCACTGAAAGGCCCAAGGAAAATAGTTGCAGCAATCTTGGGATTCCTAATTTCGTATCTCACGAAAAACTTAAGACAAGGGGGTATCTTAAGGACGACACCTTGTTTCTGCGTGTTGTCATTGGCCCAGATTCCAGTAAATTGAACTGGTGGTCAACTGAGCCTCTTTGGACGTTTGAATAGGCCGAGTAAGAGGTCGTGTGAGATCATTTTTATGAAAATGAAAGTTATATGATTTTGCCTTCAAAAAACCATTTATTTTTGCCATTAACCACAAATCCAACCACAGTATACAGCAATTTATGACACATTAAAGATAAACTACACTATTCTAACTAAATTATTTACAAAATCAAATGTTTAAAGTGGTAATGGCAAGGAAGCCTATATAGAAGCCGGGGGCTTATAAACTATAGGCTTCCTAAAAGTTTTTTCTTCGTTACTGATGACTTTTCTATAACTCAGTTCTCTTGTGAACTTTCTACTTAATAGAGGTTTGTTTTCTGTTTTCACTAGTTTTCAATAAAGCCTGAATTTCACCAGCGACGCAAACACAAGGGTAAGCACGAGCGAAAGTACAGTTAAACCTCCATTAAATTGCCACCCTCTGAGTACCGGCAAGTGGCCGCTTAATGGAGGTTGGCCGCTCAATAGAGGTTCGTCATAAATTAACATAATCTTTAGCGGAAACATCACTTTGTTTTAATCAGTCTTCACCTATCTCGGACTTTATTTGCCTTCGTCATATTTTAAAAATTAAGCCAAACTTAGAGTATCAGGCGCTTGATGGCCGCTTGATAGAGACCTGTGACATCAATAGGAGAACTCTCCGGCATCGGAATGGCCAAAAGCTGGCTGCTTGATAGAAGTTTCATTTACATATTCTCTGTGCAATTATTTCGGGGATTTGATCACTGGCCGGTTAATGGTTGTTCAACTGTGTAAAAATCGATCCTTGTTTTGCTGGAAACGGTGTTTTACCGTGAAACGACCTTATAGACGCGAGCCGTAAGTTCAAACACAAGGGTGAAACTTTTCTTTTCTCGTGCGTGCGCTTGTGATTGTGTCTGTGCTCATGCTGTTACACTTGCACTTGCGTCAACGCAAGTTTTCACTTAACTCTAAGGCAAGAGTCTAAAACCTGTTGCAGTCGTTCAGATTGTGGAGACGGATCAGAGAATTTACGCTATGTAATCAGCCTGTTATAGTCATAATTAAAATGTTTTTATCATTGATAATGAGATTAATAGTAATAAAATAATAATAAATGATAATTCGAAGGTCTTCCAGATTGCACAGACTAGTCATGGACTATTCACACTTTTGTTTGTACCTAAAAGAACATCTTTATTGTAAGCGTTACAATTATAATTTATTATATACTAGGGTATCTAAAAGATAGTAATGCTGCGGCACACTCTGTTGATACTGGTATTAGTTAGGCAGTGAGGCTTAAAAGAATCGAAAATGACATTGAATGTCCTATTTACATGTTGGAAAGTAATAGTTACTATCAGTCTATAGAAAGAACTCTGGGAACGTTGTTTAGAAAATGATCAAGTGGTAATCAACTGTGGTTTTCCCACAGTAAATTGTAGGAAATGATAGAAATTCAGATTGTTATCCATATATTTAATACACGGTGTACTATCTTTTTTCTGGAAACACGATACTTTTCTTGCTGTTTATTGCACTTTATTAAATAACAGTTATTTAGGTATATATTTATAGAAAACAACACAAAAAACGGAAAAAAAGAAAGAAGTAAAAAAAGAGGCGAATAGGACTCAAACCCGGCGCCTTCGGCTGGACGCAACTACACCTAACCACTACACCACAGAGGCTGAATACGTATCACTTAAGGAAAAGTCTTTAATTTAATGCCTTTTCCATGAAACTTCCGCCGGCAAGATGATCGCCAGCTGCATTAACCGAGCTATTAACCCATTCGCTCCTGGAGATTTTGCCCAAAAACGCGTTTTGAAGCTAGTCGAGTGGTTTTCTGGTCACTGTCGTGCTATAAAGAGCTAAAACTTACCACAAACCGGTTTACAGATCGTACACTTGGCGGCCTTCTGATCCAGATGCAAAATATCAGCTTGCGAAGTTCGGGCATGCGCAGAAAGCAAAATTGGGTTTAAAAGTGACACAGCAGTCTTGACTTTTACTTTTCGCTTTCTCTCCTCCCTTCTTTTTTCGCTTTTCTTGCCTCATTTTTTTTTCTCTTGCTGGGCCTTTAGTAGGCTTCATTTTGATGGGAAGAGTTTTTAGGAAAGCTTTTAGGATCTTAGGATTAGGTGAAAGGAAAGGTAGGTGGGTAATGGAACAAGATTTTCATGGAGATTTTCAGGTCCTTGTCACGTAGTTTTTTGCTTCTTTCTCCGGTGTCCTTGACTGAATTGTGCTCATTCTGGTATGGTTTGAAAGATCTCTTCACTCTGCACAAGTTAGCGAAGAAAGTTGTCCTTGACCGTTAAAACTGATGACGTCACAAAGGGTAGAAAGGACCTGGATCCGCACGGGCGGTTACGGGTGGTTCAGGGGCGAATGGGTTAACAGTAAAAAAAAAAACGATGCAAACGCATATTCCATGGCAATAAATGAATGAAAGAACATAATTATGCTTTTCAAAACTCATCTGAAAGGCTCCCGCGCATCTTAAATTTGGTGAGACCTCTACCCTTGCTGTAGAAAATTTGCCACAAAGAAAACTCTGAGTCTGGGAAGCGAACGATGCACGCTCTCACCCACCGAACTTCCTCATGTTTTTATTCGTGGCGCAATGCATTCTGGTAAGAAGAATCGCAGTGCAATCTGGTTAAATGCAATGCGTCCTGGTAAAAAGTGAAAAATTCGAGAATTCGTCTCACCTTGTATATTTCCCTTAAATGTTGCTGCTCGCTCCGTACGGTCGCTCCGCAGCAATAAAATGAAATATAACAACGAACAGCTTGTTCAGAGTTTATTGTTCTTCGTTGTACGATTGTAATTACTAACTATCGACACGCGTACATGTTCTCAACATATATTGAAATGCAAAATTGACTGCAAGTGAGTCTCTTTATATACCACGTTTACTAGTTTTATCAAAAGTGAAGATATTATAGAAAGTAAACATTTTTTAGTGTTCTGAACACGGTAAGCAGTGGACGTAATGTTATTTGCAAGCTCATTCTTTAGCCTACACGATGCTAAAAAATACACCAACATTCTCTGTAAATAAGTTCACTATTTCATATGCACTGTCACTAGTACCGCCATTACAGTTTAGTCCATTTCTTCTACCGTGGGTCCATTCCGAGAAGAGCTGTTACACTGCTGTGCCTGCTTGTGTCCATGGAGCTTGGTCATTATAGGAGAACACATGCACTCGTTGAAGATCATTCTGTTTTTCTGTTCTTCGTATTCTTCTTTATCTGCCTGCAGGGAATTTCTTTCCAACTAAGCCATCACCTCCTGTCCTTCACTGTCTCAAGATCAGCACTATTCAGCTTGTTCTCAACATCTGGATCTACTGCTGTCTGTTTTACGCTGTACACATAACTTTCCAAGCTGTTTCCTGCGGTAATCTTTTCTCTTTGTACCGCATCTTCTTTCTTGCATTTCTCGGCCTCTAGCCACCATGCGATCGATGTCTGCTTTAGACAGCCTTCCGGTGTCATTGGTGATGGTGATGGCACAGGTTCTTCCAATACTTTGGTCCTTGGCAGATACATTTAAGATTCCATTCGCATCTATATCGAGGGAAACCTCAATCTTGGGTACTCCTCGTGGGGCGGGAGGAATTCTTGTCGGCTCAAATCGCCCCAAAAGGTTACCGTCTTTGGTCATGGCTCGCTCGCCTTCATACACTTGAATGGTCACAGCTGGCTGGTTGTCTGAGTAAGTTGTGAACTCTTTTAAAGAGTTGGTTGGGATGCGACTGTTGCGCGCTATCAGTGTAGTCATCACTCCACCAGCGGTCTCGATTCCAAGGCGCGGGGGTGCAACATCGAGAAACGGAACACCTTTCATCTCAGAGCTTTGGTCCCCAGACGAGATAGCCGCCTGGATTGCAGCACCATAATTATGCTACTGCCTCGTCAGGGTTTACGGTCTTGTTCAACTGTTTGTTATCAAAAAACGGCTGATCAGAAGAAGTTGCTGTACCCTTGGGATTCTCGTGGAACCTCCTACTAAAACTACCTCATATATCTGATCAATTCTTGTCGGGGTTAGCATTTTGAGCGCTTTCTCCACCGGTTCCAAACACGAACGAAACAGATCATTACACAGTTCTTCAAACTTGGCACGGGTTATCTTGATGTCAAAATCAATTCCTTCTGCAAGTGAATCGATCTCTATCAGGGGCACCCAACGACTGTTTTCTGTGAATTATCTCTTCGGAGAAGCAAATATTGCCTAGAATTTTCTATTGGTTGAGGACAGCTAAAAATTTCTAGATGAACGTTCCATTCAGGTACAATTTTCGAAGCGTATCCTCAACGATTTTCGGAAGTTTAATTTCTCTCATTTTACTCCCCATGTTAGGCTATTCTTCGTAGAAAAGGGAAACCCAAAATTTTCGAATCCAAAAATATGATGGGGAGAGGAATAAGAAAAAACCACCCCGTTTCGTAAAACGTTAAATTGCAGCTAAAATTTTCGGGGAAATAATACTGAAGCCCTTGTAATTTCGAAAACAGTAAAGTTCCCCTAGTATGACCAAACAGATACATATTTTACAGCGCCGCTTAGAATGCATTTCTATACGTCTAAAATTACTTTGGATAAGCTGGGAAGTGTTTTCAATGTATTTAGGGGAAACCATCGTTAGGTGCCCCTGTTCTATGCTTGCTTGAGCCAACGGTACTGCACGATACGGATCTCTTGGCTCGTTCACAGAGTCCTCAGTCGGCGCAAGGCTCTCGGGTGTTCTTTAAGATCTTTCTTGGATTTTGGCTTAAATTCCTTTGAAGAATAATCCACGACACGATTTTCGAAGTCTTCTCCGCCCAGATGCGTGCAGTATTACCGGCTCTTCAAAGAGCTATCCTTTACCAACGTCAAAAGTGCCCCCTCCTAAATTAAAGATCAGAAAATTCTTTTCTCCGCGAAGGTTTTTGTCCAAGCCATAAGCGAGAGCGGCAGCCGTAGATTCACTGATGATCCTTTTAACGTTCAGCCCAGCTATCATTCGCACATCTTTAGTGACCTGTGTCTGAGAGCCGTTGAAATATGCAGGCACAGTAAGAATGCATCAGTGACTTTCTGTCCCAAGTAAGCCTCTGCTGTTTTTTTTTCATCTTTTTGAGCACCATAAAACCATTTTCTCTGGGGTAAAAGACAAAAGTTTTCAACGCTCCCTTACTCTGTACACCTATCTTCGGCCCATGGTACCAGACTCTTTGATGACTTGAAAAGGCGAATTCCAGTTTCGGTTCGATCGATTGCACTGTTGGGTTCGGTGTTGGGTCGTCAAATGTCAAGTATAGTGTTGCTTGGGTTTAACGTTGCTTGGTTCTTTGCCGAATCTCCAATCAAGCGTTCAGTTTCCGTGAAGGCAACATAACTAGGAGTTGTGCGATTGCCTTGGTCGTTGGCAATTATCTCCACTTTACCATACCATGCTGAAAAACTCCAACACAGGAGTACGTTGTTCCAAGGTCGATTCCAATCGCGGGTGCTAACTGGACTGGCATCTTCGTAGCTTTGGATAGGTTTCCTTGTATTGCTCTTGGATATTTTCGTTCTCTCAGAATTTGATTTGCTTGTAACAAAGTTTTATTGTGGAATGAAAGTTGGGCGCTTTTATAGCTCTCTCAGGTCCTCCTGTGTATCATGTTTCTAAAAATATGAAAGTGCTGCATCATTTATTCTCGCGAATTAACCAATGATATTCTTTTTATTCTGGGTAAATGAGGCCCTGACTTTTCTAGACTCACTATTCTAGAACATTTTTTTGTTTCAGACAATTTCTAGTTGTTGCAAGGACCTTCTCGATCGTACGACCAGAAAAATCGAAACTCCTCTGGAGCTTTCGCGAATTTTCTCTCTATTCCAGTCTCCATCGGCCATAATCAGAGCCCACAAATAGTGGCAGTCCGCGGTTGTCCTTATCATTCAAAATGGCGGCCGCCAGATGGTCTTTGCTTGTGCTTGGAATATTGGTTCATATCATTTATCTAGCTTCCATATTTGATATTTATTTTACTTCTCCACTAGTTCATGGTATGACGCCTCACAAATCAACTCTTAAACCGCCAGCCAAGAGGCTAGTGTTATTTGTCGCTGACGGTTTGAGAGCGGACAAATTTTTTGAACTCGATCAACGCGGAAAAAGTCGTGCGCCATACCTCAGAGATTTGATAGAGAAGAAAGCAAGCTGGGGTGTGTCACACACAAGAGTTCCTACAGAGTCACGTCCTGGACATGTTGCCCTTATAGCTGGATTTTATGAGGATGTGAGCGCTGTCGCTAAAGGTTTGTGAAAATGTATTGGAATATTTGCGCGCGCGTCAACCCAAATTATAAATAAAACTAATTCTATCACAATTTAAGCTTACTTCTGAGGGACCTCAGAGGTTAGTCCCCATATAGAGTTGGCTTCAACAGTTCCCGAGTGTAACTTAATATCTGAGGCCAAAATGTTTTTTTTCCTTTTTCTTTCCTTTTTTCTGCAGCGGGGAGGGGTGGGGGTTACTTGTCACTTGTTGGGCTGAGAGAATCGCTTTTGTGCTGGTTTGTCGTTTTGCAGAGCATCTGTGTCCATGGCATTTTTGTTTTGATTGGTCCTGATATTCTTTGATGGCCTTAGATCAAGGATAAATTGAGCCATAACATATATGTTACAAGTTAAAATTAAATTCAGGTTAAATTTTTTAACCTAGGTTGATTCTCAATTTCCTTTGTCTCGTAACCCCAATTATTCATGAGTTCAGGCTAGGAGACAAAGAAAATTGAGAATCAACCAAGGTTAAAAAATTTTAACCTGCGTTTAATTTTAACCTGTAGCATATATACATGTAGGGCCAGTCATTTAAACAGAGTTTAACCAGTGTTTAAGGAAACCGTGTTCTAAGTCATATTTAGTTTACCCAACACTTTTATCTAAGCACCATTTGTGGTGATCAGTTTCATTAAAGCATATAGTGTAGACTAAAAAAGCATTTATCTTCTTAACTTGACCCACTAAAGAAGATATCTGGAGATCCAAAGATTTCTTAAACCGTGGTCTACGTTAGACCTCATTTAAATAAGCGACCTGTAATGGCCTAGCCTTGTCATTAAGGTGTGGTTAAAAATGTATTTGATGTAGGGGTTTTCAAAGCAGTTCAATTTTTTCCCCTCTTTGTTCCAGTTTTGTATGAATTATGGCAGTTTTCATACTGAAGGATAAATTGTCTGGATGGACAAGTCATTTTAAGATTAGACAAAGAAAATTGTAGACACCACTTCTCTGATTTTGTTTGTCATTTTGTCCATCCTTCTTCTTTTTCTTGGTCAATATGTTTGCCTAGACAGACAAGTTGTCAAAAGACCAACCTAAATTCAGATGGTCACTGTAAAAAAGGCCCTTGTCTGAAAATGATGTCCAATTGTGGCTTCACAGAGAAAGTGTGCACAGTTCACTCTTTCCAAGGCAGACACTGTTGGGATTAGATGGAATTGTCCAATCTAGACAACCAAAGAAAATGACTGAAGTACATGGCAAGGGCCAACTGTAGGTATCTCATTTAGGTAGGGTGTCTTTTAGAGTGGTCTATAAAGAGAGAGGGCACATAGATTTTTAAATTAATATTGTTAATTTCCTGTTTTATGTAATACTTGCTACAGGCTGGAAAGAAAACCCAGTGGAGTTTGATTCCACATTCAATGAAAGCCGCTACACATGGGCGTGGGGAAGCCCTGATATTTTACCAATGTTTGCCAAGGGAGCCTCTGGAGATCATGTGTTTACTTCCATGTACCCAGATGTTGCAGAGGATTTTGCAGATGAAGATGCTGCTAAACTTGACACCTGGGTGTTTGATGAGGTCAGGGAATTCTTTGATGGTGCAAGAACTAATGAAACACTGAAGAAGATGCTTTTTCAAGGACAAATTGTATTTTTTCTCCACCTACTAGGTTTGTTGCTTGAAAGAGATTCTATTTATGTTTGTCCATAACTTTGATTCTCACTTGCTCAACATATTGTTTAAGAATTCTTTTTTTGTGTAGTTTTACTTGTATTTGACACTGAGCATTCCATACATACACTGTTTAAAGGTGTACCCATTACTACTCCTGAAGGACGATCATGAGGTTATCCCTATATTAAAATCTCTCCTTACAGATAACCCACCCAGCCCAGGAAAGGTTGGCCATGCCACCAGGGTCCACATCTCCTACTCTTTTCAGTGGCATGGGTTCTTTTATGTCCCACAAGAACTAAATAGGTGAAAGTGCTGTGAGACAGGACCTATGGTTTTTCGTCCTTATCCCAGAAGACTAGAAACTCTAACCATTTTCAGATGTCATTACAAAGGCAGCACTTTCTTCTCAGTTATTTAAAGACCCTGACCGATGACTGGTGCTCTCCCAACTGAGCTAACCAGACAGTGGGTCCTACTCATTTTGATCAGAAACAGAAAATACTTTGAAATGTTGAGCACTCCAATGAAACCATACCTGACATTAGACCATAATGGGCAAAATCTATACCTGTTTTTCATACCAAAACCTAAAACACTATATCCTTTTTGGAGGCACATACCTATATAACTTATATAGGGGAGTTTCCCTCCCCCTACCCTCCCAGGATCTTGGGATGGCCATAAAATGATGCATGTGAGTCAGTCAAATCAGTGATAAATCAACAACATTGTCTATCAGTATAGTCAAATCTCCAGTAAGCAACCATCATCTAGTGTTTGCTGATGGAGTTTATGAGATTATTGCTTAAAAGCAGGTCCAACTATTGTGGTGCTTTGACTGGAAAAACTGATTTCTTTTATTTTGGATGGGTGGTCCTTCATGAGGGCAATGAGAAGTAGCCTATTTCAGGCTCTCAGATAGTGGGGAAGATGCGAAAGTGTAGGGTGCAGTTTCCTCGTGTGTTTTTTTTTTTTTCAAGTTCGCGCTTTCTCAATTCCGCTGGCCTGACTATCTCGGAACCTGAAACAGGCTAAATGAGAAGTGGTTGCACATAAAGGTTCAGTTGTCCATTTAAAATTTTAGCATTGTTTTTTTCATTGACTTAGTGCAGCATTAGTATTGTGAGACTACAGTCAAACCCCGCTATTTCGAAGTCCCAAGGGAAATGAAAAAAAGTTCGAAATAGCGGGGCTTCGAAATAACCGGGGAAGCGTAAAGAGGAAGAGTAAATCCAAGGGCATTCGATCTTCCTTCGAAATAGCGGGGACTTCGAATTAACCGAGCTGGATATAGCGAGGTTCGACTGTAGTTGTGCCCACTTAATACAGTCAATTCAGGGTGTCCATTTAATACTTTTAGTTTACATACTTAAAATACTTCATGTAAGTGAATTAGAATTAAAAGATAAGTGTATCTTTGAAAAATGAATGCTTAACAGGACTTTTTTGAATAGGAATTGATACTAACGGCCATGCCCACAGGCCAACCTCGCAAGAATACCTCAAGAATATTGCTGTAGTTGATGCAGGAATAAAAGAAATTGAAAAACTGATTGAAGATTTTTACAGCCATGATGGTCAGACAGCTTATGTAATGACAGCTGATCATGGTATGACTAACTGGGGATCTCATGGAGCAGGACATCCTCATGAGACACTCACACCATTACTAGCATGGGGGGCTGGAGTGCGTGTTGCCCAAGCTCCAGAAAACAACAGTCACATCTCAGATGTAACGTATGAGTGGAAGCTGGCTCATCTGTCTCGTAAAGATGTCAGTCAAGCAGATATTGCACCCCTGATGACTTCTCTGATTGGTAGGTTTTAGAGGAGTTGTGTGTGTTTTGTTTTTTATGTAGAGAATATGGCTGACTCGTCCCCAGTCGTCTCTAAGTTGTCTCTACTCATTAATTATTTACTAGGGAAGCGCTTGGGTTATGCGCGTGGGGAAGATGGGAAGGCGAGAGGAGGGGAGAGTCTCTCCCTTCTCCCTTCTTCCTTCCCGTCATCCCCTTTGTTAAAGAGCCTGTTCTAGTCTTCCACGCCGAATACTAATAATGAGAGACGAATGGGGACGAGTCAGGAGAATATGGTAAATTTAAAAATACATTATGTACTGAAAAGCAGGGCTGACAAGTAATATTATTATAATAGTAATTGTAATAATTATCTTTATTCAATCAATAAAATACATATTCAAGGTTACAAAAAGTCATAAAGCATAGCCTATTTACTAAGCAGTTCTTAAAGTGCTCAGTGTTAACTAAAGATAGTTGTAATGTCAGTCTTGTGATTGTTACTGTGTAGGATTGGTCTGTAAAAAATTATTGATAAGGTCCACTATTATTTCTTTCTATCATCAGGTGTTCCGTTTCCTCTGAACTCTGTGGGAGTTTTACCAGTGGAATATTTGAACAACACAGAAGAGTACATTGCTGAAAACTTGTTCATGAATGCACAACAGATTCTTGCACAGTATGAAGTGAAGGAACTCTTCAGGAAAAAGACATCATTGCTGTTTCGGCCTTTCACCTCTTTGGCAGGTAAAGGAACAAGAGGTTTATATTAGTCGTTCATTACGTTAAAAAGATGTTTGACCACTTGACCCTTTTTTCCACATTTTTTGCCAACTTTCAATTCCATTTTAATTGTCTGGCTGATCCAACTGATACTTTCAGAATCTGTTAGAAGACGGAGAACTCCCTAACATTTGGTTTCCCTCTGAAATGGGGACATTTGACCTCTAAGGTGTTGCTAGTGCGTTGTTTGCAGGGTATTTAATTTATTGTCTCAGCTAGGTCTATAATGTCAATACTTTTAATGCTTCTTATTCTCTATCTTTAATAGAAAGGGGCTTACTGTGAAAGTAAGTTTGAAGATTCATGTACAGTGGCAGAAAAACGCTATTCATCGGGGATTGATTTCCTTTTTGGATACTCCCCCAGTCTTACAAAACTGTCCCTGGGAATTTTCGCAAACGATATTGATTTAAATGCAAACAGAAAAGTCATGTGAACTAAAATCTATTATCTGGCCACCTTGCATTCATGGTGCATTTTTTCGTCTTTTTTTTAGGTGCAAAGAAAACCGGAATGATACGTGACATAAAGGAATTCTTGCGAAGCAAAAAGTATGAGGAAGTAATCAGCCTGAGTAGGGAACTTATCCAGCTTTCTCTGGATGGACTCAGTTATTATCAGAATTATGATCGTGTTTTCTTGAATTTGATGGTCACTCTTGGGTTTTTAGGCTGGATATTCTGTATAGTGCTACAGATTATCGAAGATCATAGTGATATCCTAAAAGAAGCTTCCAAGCTGCGCAACAAACAATATCAAGTTTTGGTTAAATCTTTTACGGTGGACAGTACATCTCTTGGTTTAGGCATTGTTATAGTTCTGTTATTGCTCATTCAAAAAGCACCGTGGATGTACCATAGTTACTGCTTATTGCCGTTAGTTTTTTGGAACCGCATTGCTAAAAGACTTCACATGGTGCATGCTGCTTTGGATTACATCCATGCGAAGAAACTGCAAAGTAGAGTTTTTTTTACATTGACGTTTGGTGCAGTCTCCTTAGAGATTCTTGTAATGAGTTTCTTTAGGCGTGAAATTCTGTCAGTTGGCTTGGTTTGCCTGGCTGTTTGGCCATTCAGTAACGCGCTGTTTACAAACTGTAAGCTGTCAGTAGCATGTTGGATGGTACTTAGCCTCGCACTGTCTGTGTTCCCAATGCTTCCAGTAGTTGGTCGTGAAGCAAACTACATGTTAGTCTCCGTGGCGGGAGTAATAACTTTGGTTTTGTTCACGGTCATATTGCTTTATATCTCAAACACTTCAAGTCTCCTCAAGACAGAAATATCAAAATCTTGGAGAATTTTGCTTCCTCAAGTCACGCTTGTGATTCTGGCAGTGTACATCGTCAACAGCACAGCATCAAACCTGCAGCTGAAACTTGGCCTCCCAGTCATCAACCAGATTGGAAGCTGGACAATTTTCGTGTCTTCGTTTTTGCTGCCTCTTATCAATTCCAGTAATTTGGTCATCAGATTATCCAGTATAGCAGTTGCGTTTTCCTCAGTTTATTTGCTAATGAGTACTGCTTATGAAGGACTGTTTTTGCTAGCCCTTTCCTTACTTATGGGAGCGTGGATTTTGTGTGAACACAAACTGTCTGGTAAAACGCTGAACTCACTCTTAGAGACCCAACTGAATTATGAAAGCTCTACAACAACACATCAGCCAGCCTGGAAGGTTCTCACAGAAGGACTGAACTCTCCTGTCATTAGAAAACTCACCCTGGAAGATCTTCGTTGCTCTTATTTCTTTGTCTTCTTCATAATCGTAGCTTTTTTTGGAACTGGCAACATTGCAAGCATTAACAGTTTCGATCCAGCATCAGTGTATTGTTTCCTAACAGTATTTTCACCATTTGTTATGGGTAGTTTGCTCCTTTGTAAGGTTCTTATTCCGTTTGTGATTGTAGCATGTGCGTTTGATGCCATACACGTGGTTTTGTCAATTCCAGTCCAGAGTCTTGTTCTTGTTGTTCTAGTGATGACAGATCTTATGGGACTGCATTTCTTTTATCTTGTGAAGGATTCAGGAAGCTGGCTTGATATAGGAACAAGTATCAGTCATTATGTAATTATGATGGCCTTTATTATATTCCTGCTTCCAATATTTGGGTTAGCAAGACTTTTTACTGGAGCCTCTCTCTCGTTAGGCATGAGCAAGAAAAAAGTATGACTTAGAGGCTTTTTGGGCGAGGGTTAAAATACCAACTTGTCAAAAAACATTGTGAAAATTTTGCCACCAAATAAGCTGGATAAACGTGAAGACGCCTCTAAACAACTAGGTCAGAATACTCCCAGAGTAATTTTATGATAAGGCACAGACTGATATGCGTAATCTGGTCCCCAGATCTCTTACTGACAAAGGCTGCTGTGTCAACAAGAGATCCAGGGGCGGATCTAGGGGGAGGGTGCAGGGGGTGCGCACCCCCCCTCCCCTAAGATGACCTGCGGTTTTCTAATACAACTGGTATTCTGCAAAAAAAAACTATGTGGTTTATTGGTGTTGAAGTAGAGCAAGAGACGAGTGCACCCCCTCCTGAAAAAAACCCTGGATCCGCCCCTGAGATCTGGGTACGAGATTATGGTGTGCGTAGATGGCTGAATAAGTGGGCGAGTGCTGTAATGGTTTTGGCGGTCTCGCTTCTTCGCCGCTAGCGAAAATCCCTCGCGGCTTCGGCGCTTGCTTCGCGTGGCAGCTCCGCCTCCTAGAAAATACCCTGGCAGGAGTGACCCTGGGCATAACAATTCCGCCAGCTGTGCAGGCCAGGTACAGGCGTGTGGGCAGACTATACCTGGGCGGAGTTCAAAAGAGAAGAAGCAAGGATATGGTGGGGAGGGGAGAGATGCGGATAGGGAGAAATGTTCTTTTTCCCCTCTCCACCCGGCATTCTTTTCTTTGTTTCTCTCCGCAACGTAAGCTTTTGTCTCTGGTATCTCGTTAGTGGATGACAATAAAAAAACAGGCTTATTTAAGTAGTTTTGGAGTGTTTCTTCTTTTGAATATGTTTTCTTGATTCTGTTTTTCAGAATCAAGACATGACTGGTCTCCCACGCAGCCGCTTTTAGTGTCGTCGCGCAACACTCTTAAGACATGACAATTACAATTTTTTTTCTGAAATTTAAACACGGGACCACACCCATACCTAATTTTTCCGTAAGATCGTCAAGCGCTTTGCGTTAAGCGCAGCCATCTTGGACGAGTGGTAAAACTACTCAGGGGGCTGAGGGCGGTTTGTGAGGAAGTGGGAAAAATAGAGGGTCCTTCTATTTTTCTTGCTTCCCTCCAAATCGCCCCTCACCCCTTAAGTTTTTTTGACACTCATCCAAGATGGCTGCCCGTACTGCAAAGCGCCCGATCTCGACGATCTTACGGAAAAATACGGGACTGTGAACAGTCTACCAAGACAGCGGCTACACAATGAATCCAACGATTTTCATTGCACAAAGAGGAGGGACTGTACACAGTTAATAGAAAAAAAACATAGCATTGTTTGTTACCTTCCTAGCCTCTTATTCTCCTTTCCTATTATCCGTAAACCTGGGTTCTTGTTTTCATTTCTTCGCGCCAACCAAAATAGCGAATTTAGACGGAGGAGAACCATCGGTTTATCAGTTTTCACTGTACCGTGCTACCCTCATAAAATATAGTTGTTATTATTACAGTAGTCTTAGTTGGGAGTGTATTCTACTTTGGGTTAATTATTTCAGATTCCTAAAAGAAAGGAAGAGAAGCACTTGTTTTAGTTTATTTCGATTTTACTTCATACGTGCGCATACAAAACACCTAAAAGAATTAGAAAAATTTAGAATCACGTTCACGGCAACGGAAATTTTTACCACGTGACCAAGTTTTCCCCATATTTGCTTTTAACTGTTCTTTATTAGTTTCTCATCAATTTTTTTCGTAAGGATTGTTTTGTACCGTTTTTATCAGCTTATTTTCTATTTTGAGATCAACATGAATCTGCCGTTCGCCGTAACCGTGAGTCTAAAAGTCGTTACAGTTGCATCTTTTGTAGTTGCGAAAAGATAGACTGAACAATTTAGGCTCATAAGGGATTCTAAGCCTAGACCACTGCGATTATCTTCTTCCATTTAATTCTTCTTCCCGCAGTTGTATTATATGCATATGATTCACTTAAGAGTGAAAACAAGGTCATCACAGTTTTTCGACCGTTTCCCATAGAAGTCAACTGTTCGCCATACCGAGAAATCGTTAGTTGTTTTTCCAAAGTGGAACTTTGGTCGAGAAAGTATTTGTAGATTGAAGCCTTTAATAGATTAACGTCAGGTGAATATATTCATGTAATGAGTATGTAGTCTAACTCTGAATTTAATAAATGGAGAACATCGGTCGAACAAATGCCTACCTTCAACATAACGCATAAAATCTCTACCTACTCGAAAGTTAAGTTGGAAACGTGAATAATCAAACGGGTAAGCTGAATGACGATAATAGAAAACGTAACTTCCGGGTATGGATATAAAGGGAAGAAGAAACATTTTTACAAAAATGCACGTTGTCTCGCTAAAATAGCAAAATTTCGCTTTCTTTAGGTTGTTACTAGCGCGCACGACAAAACTGTAAGAGGGAAGAGCCAAAAAGGGCTACTGGTCAAATCCTTCTGGACACTTAAAAAACCGCGGTAACGCTGGCTTCACTAATTTGTCGAACAGTTTTAGTATAGCTTGGCCTTTTGTTGTGCCCTAGAACTCCGCGTTCGCGTTTGGTAAGAAAAGTAGAAGGAAAAGCGGGGGTCGTTGAATTTAGGCCGCACTTTGAGGAGCAGGTGACCAAACTTCCCACAAAAATGACTCGAAGGCGATACATAAATGTTTGTTTTAATTGACAGCTTCGGACAATTATTATTCTCAATCATTGTTGAAATAAATAAATAAATATATTTTTCAGTCTCTTTGTCTTTTAATTTTTTTGGTCTATAAGACACCTGCCGGCAGGACGGACACGTTCCTAACACAGGCATATACTGAAGCCCTCGGTCCAGGCCATTCAGTCATTTCTTTTACTCTCTATAGCAGACACCTCCTTTAGAAAGACACTTGGTAGGTCAGTATCATTATCATCTGAAGAATTATGGAGATCGAGACCCTCTGAATTATCCGTGGGATTTTAGACAATGAGAAACGGAGAAATATTTTGAATGAATAATAATGTACAGTAACAATCATTTGAAACAATCATGATAAACAGTCAGTGTAGGCATTAGTGGAAAAATTTCTTTGTCCTGTACCAGTTGTGTATCAGAGTCCATTCTTTTAAGTAGTATCTTACTAATCTTTTATTGTAGTAAAAGAAAACGTCTTGAGCACAGTACATGTTTACAGCAGTTGGGGTGTATCAGACGTCAACTTAATTAACATCTTATTCTGTTTCATAGTTATAATTAAAATAACCAATGACCTTGTGTCCTACATTGCAGTATGGAATAAGAGGTCCCTTTTCAATACCCAGAATAATTATACTACAATAAATATATGCGCATGATGATGAAACTCTAATAAAAGGATGTGGTACTTGACGATCGTCAAAGTGATTTCGCCACAACAGGATGTACTGCTTTAATTTCCCTAACAGTCATTGGTAATAAATGATCGTGTTCATCAACGTGCTTGATAATTGGTGTGATGGCACAGTACGGCATGTGACAGTGAGGTCTGTTAAGAGCAGGATAGTACTGCCGATAACAAAGATAAGCAAAGAACAGGCCTGTATGGAAGAAATAAAGAACAGTCACGTAAACTTACAAGAAAAGTAACTTTAACATTTATTCACCCCTGAGCCGCCCGTATCCGCCCGTGCGGATTCACGTCCATTCTACCACTTGTGACGTCATCAGTTCAAGGACAACTTTGTCCGCTAACTTTTGAGGAGTAAAGAGATCTTTCAAACCATACCAAGTTGAGCACAATTCAGTCAAGGACACCGGAGAAAAAGGCAAAAAACCATGATACATTGCCCTGAAAATTTCCATGTCCCACTACCCACCTACCATTCCTTTGATCGGCAAGATTTCCAGGGGTGAATAAGTTAAAATAAAAAAAAATAAAAAATCATGATCGTTCAACAAGAAAGGAGATTCACGGATATTTTCCATGGCGTTCAGATTGTGTAGAGTGGCAAGAGATAGAGAGCGGAGTGGTAAAAGTAGAAAAAAGGGAGAGTGAGTAAGGAGGGAACCCCACCCCACCCCTCCCCCCTGTTTCTTCCTGCTCACTTTTCTTTGCATCATCCCCTTTATCTGAAAGCCTGCAACAGGCTAAAGCAAACACTCTTTTGCCCTCAAAATTAATATTGCACTTACCTAGAATTCCACCAATAATAATATCTGAAAATGGACAAACAATGGAAAGGTTATGTTTTGATCATACACCTGAAGAGTATGCCTCAAAATATTTGCAAATAAATTTAAAAAAAGAAGAGGAAATCTTTAAGGTCAATAACAATACCATGGGTTGGTTGTATCACTTAATATGTATGCAAAAAATGGCATCCATCAAAAGAGGCTTTTTTTCTCATTGACAAGCTGACTGGATTTGTTTGCTCAAACAAACGACCACGCAATACCTTTTTTTGTCAATGCAAAAATTCTACCCTTACAGTCTCTATATTATGAATCCGTTTGTAGTCTCATGTATGATGGAAATAAAAACACTGCTCCAGGTAATATGTTGAAACTCTTCTCTCGAATTTCTAGTGTTCATACTTACAACACACGTGCCTCAACCTCTGAACATTTTTATACTAAAGAATCTCGACTCAATGTCAAACGAAATGCTTTTTCACGTGTTGGGGTCAAAATTTGGAATGGGATACCTCAAATCCTTAAAGAAAGACCGAAAAAAGATTTTAAAAGATCACTAAAAGAAATGCTACTCGATATCCTTGAAACTGAAGACTCCTATATTGATATGGATACGATCATCGTGAAAATGAAAAAGTAATTCTCTTGTCCTTTATTTTCATTTTATTTTATTTTTAAAATTCCACTGTAATATTGTCCTTGCATTTAAGTAGAATAGTATCTATTTAATGTAAAATATATATACTTATGTAATGTCTAATTTCTTTGTATTTGTCTAGTTTGTAGTAAATTATGTAGCCTGGCCTGCCTCGAATAGCCTCGCTAACTGCAGGCCAGTCCCAATGTATCTTTTGTTATATTTCCAAATTTAAATAAAGTTGAAGTTGAAAAGTTGAAAGTTGAGAACCAGTTCAATTACCGAAAGTGTCCTAAACTCTACAATAAAGTGGGATACTCAGGCCTGTACCTTGCCAGTGATGTCGATAATCTGAATACCTAGTAAGTGCAAGAGCCAGAGCACATGTCACTGGAACTAAAGCAACACACAGCTTCCATCCTTGTCCTCGGCCCTGCGCCTGAAAGCAATGAAGCTTTCCAGCAAAGTAAAGGGAGAGAAAACCCAGGCCACTGAATGCAACTATAACAATAAACAAAAGAAATGAGTAAAAGCTGTGAAATGATTAGTCCTGTCCAACCATTACAGACCCAAAAATACATTGTGAAGAATACAAACTGTTACATTGTGTACCATTAGTCTTGGTAAAACACATTCAGAGGGCTACAACACTGATGTATCAGCAACAAAGAGTTCAAAACATGTTTTGTTATTTACTGGTATGGAATTAGTTTAAAATTTTGATCATAAATACAGTTGCAACCCTCCTAATGGACACTCCCATACATGGACAGCTGTACTTAAGGTCCTTTCACAAAGTCCCCGTTTTACTCAACTGCCATACAAACTCTGTATTTTTACATTCTTGTATGAGGCCCGAGCTCCAGTTACAGACAACTTTGTTAGCGTCCTGAGGGTGTCTGCTTACAAGAGCTTCCACTGTATTTTTAACAGTATTCTAATCAATGATCTCTGCACCACTAATTTCTACCCACTGATCATAATAAAGCCAAATTACTACTGAATGGAACTAACATGATGAATGCCCACTTGGAAAGCTTTTTCTGCCTTCTTGAATCTCATCTGGATCTCCATCGCACTGCTGGGTTGGAGGAATACTCCCATTGGGGTAACAACGCCAGAAGAAGTCGGGCCGAGGCCTGCAAGATAATCCCATAATAGATCTTATTTGACTTGTTGGCAATGTAATTCATGTAGTTTGATTTACTCTGTCTGATAATTTTGAATCAACTGAAGAGTGAACTTCAGGGTAGAGACAGTCACAAATTCCATGAGGTTCCACTGTACTTATATTATGGCTACTGTATTTTAAGATTGTGGAAATAGTGCAACACAAGGCTGATAAAACCTCAAAATGTTAGCCTGAAATTCATCCGATTGCTTCGAGTCGTTTTCTCCTCTCAACAACGTCTGAATCGACCAGCCGTTAATGCCGTCCAGTGACGTCACTCACTACCCGAAAACCGGGTAGTGATTTTGATTGGAGTGATTGTCTAAACATTCGCATAATTATGTATAATTATGGAAAATTTTAGCGGATTGTCGCTGATTTTCAGCGGATCGCATCCCTGGCATGGCATTCTTTTTTCAAACATTTGATAAGCGTAATCTTTATCTTAAACAGCAAAATTGCCCTTGTCTTGAAACTGAAATGCTAAATTGAACTGAATGAAGAATCCGGTAGGTTTTTCATTTAGAGCCGCTTTGTGGTTTCGGTAGGTAATTTTGTTTACGCCAATTTTCTGAGAGCAATGTTATAATTTCTGAGAGCAATGTTACCTCGACCTTCTTGCTATTTTCACCTTCAGATGTAATGATTCTGTTAGCTTTTTCTTTCTTGTTTTCTTGTTTTTTTTTCTTCGTTAAGGACCAAATAGCTTCTTTTCAATTGAAGCAAATCATTGTGTTTTTGAACTAAGTGTTTCGTGTGTGTGTTTATTTCATTGCGTGATTGCGACCGAGTTTAATTATAGAATTCAGTACAACCGGTTCAGTGTTGTACTGCATGCAGTTGATAGTTTGAACGTTAAACATGAATTACGATCGAAAAAATAAAGTAATTCTGTATCATGCAGACATTTCCAAACGATATTTCTCGCTTTGCCACTTGAAAATCGTGTTTTACTTTTTGCATGAATTAAAGCAAATGTCAAGGAGTAATGACGTCACTGGACGGCATTAACGGCCGGTCGATTCAGACGTTACTGAGGGAGTAATAACGACTCGAAGTAATCGGATGAAATTCAGGCTATCAAAATGGCTGATATAGAAAGTAACAATGTTCCCAGAACAGTCCCGTGTTGGACTAATATTAATTTGGCACAACACCAACCCACTCATTCAGCCATATACCTGACCAAAAAAAGGTTCAACTGAGTAGTAATTTAATATTTATTATAATACATTGGTTAACTTTGCATAAGGCTCAAGCACTTTCTGAAAGCCTTGTTTCATTGCTCTAGATGACAATCTATTCATTCCTATTTCTATCTCTTACCTGCCTACAAGAATTTTAATAATATTAGTCACATCTCCATTCAGTCCAAGAGTTAGGGACAAAGCTGGAAAAGATGGGAACAAAAAATCACTGACAATGAGTCAAACATGATTTGGAAGATGGGTAATTAGGAAAAGTAAAGGCCTGGGCTGTGTTTCTTGAAAGCCCTAATAACATTTGGGGCCCAGAAAGCTGTTAAGTTTGCCCTGCTTGCATTCAAAATCAAAGTTTCAATAATTTTAAAAGCTATAAAATGAAACTATCAGTTAACAAAGCACAAGAGACAAGTTTGTAAGCTGGGAACTATGGTACTATTTAACATGTTTTGATTTTAAAATTTGCCTTTGGGCCCAAAAAGTTACCAGGCCTTTTCAAGAAACAGGACCCTGGTCAAACAGTCACAAAATCGGAACAACAGTAGATTACAGCCAACTTTATTTTCCAGAAGACAAACGTTTTATACTGTTTGACATTGTGACACTGTTATGTTGTGACAAGCTGTGAGGTGTTTAAAGCGTTTTTCAGGGATTGCAAATTTTATTGATGAGTGGAGTCACTGTGACTTCCGCTTCACAAATTTTGGAGTCATTTTGGAAAATTTGGAGTCAAGTATCACAACGAAAAAAGCCATTTTCAGACTTTACAGCATGTGGTCCTGGCATGAATAACTATCGTGATGGATACATGGTGTAGCTGTGGCGGTCCACTGATCTAGAAAGCTCAAATCCATGATGGCGGTCATCGAGTAAACATTGATCGTAATTTACCCTCTTCCTGTTTTGTCGTGCAGTATCATTCTTTAATTTTGATGATTTAATTAAGGTTGGCAACGTTTACAATTAACATAAATTGCATTTGTTCCGAAAAAGGTAGGGACAAAACTGTGTGTGTTACCGAAATTTTCTGGAGTCGAAGTGGCTCCCTGTTTGTTACCGAAAATTTCTGAAGTCGAAGTGACTCCCTCCGTAACCTCTGTGGAGTCATCTGAACAATTTTGGCGTAAAATACGCCAAATTTGGCGTATTTGCGAACCCTGCGTTTTTATTTGTCACCCTATTTTCTATGCTTTTGAAATTTGAAGCTGTTTGTCCCACTAGACTTCAAACCCTTTTGTATTTACACTGTCAATTTCAGTATTCCTGAGAGTGGATTTATATACATGTAGCTATCACATTTGCATGCTGGAATTTTTTCATTGCTTTTAATTTCTTTTGCAATAAAATGTTGAAGAAGGCAAAGGTGTCAGCTATATGGGTATGCTGAAAACAAATCCACCCGAAGTTTCCCAAAGTGATATCTGATAACCATGATTATCTATTTATAAACTGTTAGGGGAATGTTTTTTTTAACTGTTTGACCTGGCATGGTCTAACATCTCAAGAGATTACAGGTATTCTCTTAGCTCAACTAATGTTGTTCAGTTGTTGCTTATGTTATTACTGATTGAATGGTACTTTAAAGTAAGACTCAGAACAAAAGGAAACACATTAATGCCTACCAAGGATTGCCTGTGTGCCATCAACCTTGTCCTTGCGTAAAAACGCCAGAATTAAGATAAGAGCACTTGGAATGATTGCAGAAATTACCTAGTAAGATAAAGTAGTGTTTGTTAAATGGCTGTCTGATGAGTGATACATTCTAAGCATTCTAACAAAGTTGGAACCCATTAATTTTAAGGGGCCACCCCTTGTTAAGTGGCCAGTAATCAAAGTCCACAAAAAATTATTGTAAATTCAACCTCTATTAAGTAAGCCAACTCTTTCAAGCATCTGTGGCTATCTTTTGGCTCCGGGGTACATTTGCTAACTGTAAAAATGAAGAACTGTCTTACAACAAAAATCAGAAACTGTGCAACCCCATTCTAGTAACTCTATTGAAAATGCGACCCCGTTTTAGTCAATCCAGTCGTGAAAATGAGACCCCATCCAGCAGCACATTCCCATTAGGCTTTTATAAGGAAGTACATCCCCTGGTCATTTCTATAGCAACCATGGAGCTTAATTTAATTACTCACATATAGTTTGACTTTGTTTTGAAAATAATATTACAATAAGGAAAATACAGTCTGAGATAGAGGGTAACGACTTATCATGGACCAATAATGTAACGTTTCAGTTACAGACATTTCTGTCTTTTCTGGTTGTAAAGTTAGTGCCATAGTTTCTAGTATTGTTCATGTCAAGTTAGGAGAGCCTCATCAAAACATTTTGAGGAGAATTTGCTTCTTTGAAACAATACTGTAGTTTTGTTCAGTGTAATTAGAGCTGTCTCTTGTGTAAAAATTGTCAAAAACCTGGACAAATGTTTGCTTCACAATTCAGTGACGTTTTGCCAAAGGTTATCCTAATTTCTGACAAAACTTTACTGAGGAGCCAAACTCCTTTCTGCAACAACTTCCAGTCATCCCAAAGGGAACCACTTTATGGAGGTTCCACTGTAGTATCAAAACATCGCAGAGAACAGAGATGTACATGTAGTTTATTTAGCAATTAATGAATGAGGCTGAGTAGGATATGAAGAATTAAGCAGATCGAGGAGGGTGTTACACACAGAGGCCTATTATTTTGCCTAGTTCCAGCTGTAGTTCTTACTCTTGAAACAAGTAAAATGTCTGCCATTTTTTTGTCACAACCAAAACAACTTAACCTCGTCCCCAGATCTTCTCAGTAATGGTGCCTTAACCTGTAGCTGCATTTTTGATGTCATTTCCTCGTTAAACACAAAATTCTTCCAAATTCGGTCATCAGTAACTGGTTATGGTGAATTATGCGTGGGCTTTTAGCCAATCAGAATTGGGGAAATATTTTGAAAGAACAATAATTCCATTTAAACTGCAAGAAAGTCAGTGAGTTATTTCACCCCCAGAATTATCAAAACTACACCTGTACATGTAAACCTACATAACAGGACTTGCAGGCTCTTTACTGAGACATGACCCCATTTATCTAGAACCAATCTATAAAAAAGTAGTGAAGCTCCTAGAGAAACTTACAAACAATATTTCTGTAGAAATAGTGTTCTCTGACTTAGGATTTTGATATAACCACATTTCCTCTTGGTGAATGACACGAACAAATGGGGCTGTATATTCAAGTGCCCTGAAAAGAGAAAAAATAACATTGATCAATTCTCACTAATTCCCAGGTACTGAGGGATAACGTGTGCTTATTGTTGTTTAGCCTACTGTGAAACTCAGAAAACTGCAAACATCAGTAATATTTTGGGAATGTTATTAAATGTATTTCGCAAGGAAAAAGCCATGCAGACATAAGAAAACTAAATTGCAGGAAACAATGGTAATTAGTTTTTAGTCTCTATGGCATATGCACACTTCCTTATCTTTGCTGCTATTGGGCAGAAGACAAAAATTCTTGAAATCATTGGTGGCTTTAGATGGGGAGGGGGCTGTGGACGCCCCTTTTATATGAAATGTGTTAAAATATAGCAATCTCAAGAAAATCTGTCTTCTTTAAGCACATTAAATTTTGGAGATGAAAGTTTGAGATGCTCTTTCAGTTCATTAAGCAATAAATTAATAGAACCTTCTGAGCTGGTAGGCCTCCCAGTCCTTCTTCCTGAATTTTCTGGCTTCACCCCTTCCTATTACAAACACAGTGTTACACCCTCAAAATGTTCACAGTTATCTGAGTTTGACTGTAACAGGTTTGTCTTTTATTGTGACAATGATTATTGATAAAATGTACATTTAATCAGTTCATTAATTAATGGACAGAAAACTCACCAACCCTACCAATCAACCAATGAAAATGGATCAGTTTCTTTGTGAGATTTCCTATCACCTTTGTATCCTGAGCTGCGTACAATAAACTGCGATATAATCTATTATTTTATCTCACAACAACAAGTCAATTGCCTGCGTTACAGCCGGACTTGATGCTCGAGAGCCGGATAGAAAATTTGATATAGCTGGGGATTTAGACTGTTTGCATGCGACATAGACTACGAGCCAAGAGTTAGAAAACCTGACACAAACAGCTGTCAACAGATGATTTTAGTTGAGATCAGTTTATTGAAAGACCTTATGCATGTCTTGTATCTTCAATTTTCATACACGTATATTCTATTTCGGGTAATTTGATTGACTGAATGCATTTGTGGATCTATCCCTCATTTAATACATGCGTGGAGTTCACCGGGTCTTCACGAATATTCCACGCGTCAACTATTTACCTTAGAAGAATTCATAGATAAAAACCCAATTTTACGAGGAAGCTTAACCTCTGACAGAAAAAAAAAACATAAAGGAATGCAATAAACTTACACAAATATAGCGAACAAGAGTATTCGTGCCCCAATTTCGGCCAGTAAATGATACGATCCATTCCTTAATTTCGCCGCCATCTTTGACATAATTATTCTTTGGCAATATTTCGTTGGGAGTCCGCTGACTAGGGATTCATTGGTAAGTTGGGCTCAGCTTTGTGAAGCCCCGTATGATTGGCTAAAATTTGTCACGTGAAGGCAAGGCCTGTCCGCCATTTTGCATTTTGAAATCTGAACTTCATGATTGTCCAGAACATTTATTTAGTATAAATATTTCTTTGATCTTGGACTATGGATCAATTTGACGTGATAGCAAATCAACCTATTGTTATCGACAATGTAAGGTTAATTTTTTTACACATTTGTGGCGCACTCAAAACTGTTTTCAAACTGCCATTGTATCGAGTTTTTTATTTACAAATCGGGGGTGGCTATCTAACTTTGGGTAATAAGTCATGATTCATTTACTTAGCATTGACTTTTGTTGTTCATAGGGATCAGGAGTCATAAAAGCTGGATTTGCAGGAGATCAGATTCCAAAATACCATTTTCCAAACTTGTAAGTATTTCCAGTGATAAATATAAGACTTGTGCAAACCCATTTCTGTGAAAACAATATTAAGCAAAATTTAATACGCTTATTAAAATAAGCTTAAATGAAACAGGAATTTTATTAGCGTAGTTAAGAATTAGTATTTCAATTTTCGAGTGATTGCATAAACTCTTTTAATTGTTTTGAAGTAATTTCAAGAAATCAAAAGTCTTGTTTCTAAACTAAGTTGAATCACAGTGAAATTTTACCACTGTCTTTTCTTTGGATATCACTCTCACAGTGTATCTCACATTTATCAAGATGTGCCAGCTATATGAAATATTCTGTTTCTGAGTTTTATGTAGATTGCTTTCTTTGGCTTTAGTGTTGGTCGTCCTAAACATGTGCGGGTTATGGCTGGTGCACTAGAGGGTGATATATTTATTGGACCAAAAGCCGAGGTATGAAAACTGTCAAATCGTACTGTTAAGTACATGTATAATGAGCCCTGATGGGTGGAATGTAGTCAGGTATCTGAGATAATAAAATATAACCCTGTGCCACTAACAAGGCCACCCCTCTAATATCAATATATAGCAAAATTCATGTGGCCTGTTAGTGAGCATTTTAACCCAAGGAGGTACTTCTTAGCTACAGGCTAATGGGGATGTGCAGCTGGATGGGGTCACATTTTCACCACTGGATTGACTATAAATTATGCAGGGCTCAAAAAAAGTCTGATCCAGTAGTCTGGGACAAGTATATTTTCTTGCTGGGCAAGTAACTTTTGCAGCTTACTTGCCCAATGGGTAAGGATCCAGGCAAGTCATCCTCTCACAAAGTTATTGACTAGGACAAGCAAGAAGTGGCCCTGGGCAAGCAAAATTTGACTGGTGCTTGCTGAAAGGACGATATTGAATTCAAGTTTTTTTTAAGCCTGCGATGGGACTGCTTTTCCATAGAGTCACTAGTTATTTGCCCAAAATGAGCTAAGATGGGACCTGTAATTGGCCAGAGTAGACTATGATGGGGTAGGGGTTCTGAGAGACCAGCAGCACATACCGAGCAAAAATTGACTTAACTGCCCCCTACCCCCTACCCCCGGCATTGTAACAGGGTTCACCTGTCCTTTTATTTGATCTGAAAGCTTCAAACCGTTTCAGATTTTTGTTTCTGTCCATCTTAAATTCATTATCATAGTCTTATAAGAAATCAGATGGCTTTTATAAAGTTATAATTTTTCTCTACATGTAGCTTCAATTGCTAGGATTTTATCTTGTCAATTCCCCAGCTCTAAAATTGTTGTTTGACAGCCTGTATTAATATTGGTTTCCCTTGTACAGGAACACAGGGGCCTTCTTAATATCAGATATCCCATGGAAGTAAGTGAAAAATCTCCATCTTAATAAAATGTGTATCTTGTACAGTGTTGTTTAAAAGGAAACTTTGGCTTGAATTGACCTCAAATCACAGCTGTAGCTTGATTTTTTATTTACTTTGTCTTGTACTTACATTACGTGCATCATAAATCAGAAACCAAAAACTGATGATCAAATTAGGCTCAAACCATCCTAAACTTCAAAATATGTGTACTGAATCCCTAATTCGGTACAAGCTACAATTACTTAACCCTTTAAGTCCCGATAGTGACCAACATCAATTTTCTCCTAACAATATCCATATTTTGCCAAGAGAAATGATTATGAGAGTTAATAAAATGATCGCCAAAGATCTGTTATCAAACTCTCTCAACTATTTTTTTAAGGAAATGTATGAAGGTCAGTATGGAGAATTTATATGTGGATACGGGGCTTAAAAGGTTAAGGGACAACATGTCTCTATGGTTGTGGGGTTGGGTTGGTGCCCATGCTGCACCTTGTTACTGTTCTTTTCACTAATTAACATGGGAACTCTGAAGTTCAAAAGGCAACTCAAGTTTTTGTTGCTCGCTGCTGTCAATCATCTAAGTTGACCTCTCAAGAAAGAGAACTTTGCTTCTATGAGTTCAAAAGTTCGTGGTTTGTGATTGGTGGATTTCGATCCATTTTGTGTGTTTCTGTGTTTCAGGGTTTGTTGCTTGTGATCATTATAAAAGACAATTACAATTGCAGCAGCGAAGAATGCAATTTTTTATTTTAAGCTGGCTATTAAATTCCAGAGTTTGTGTGTTATTGGAAATTGCAGTAACTGCAATGCAGCTTTTGTCTCTGAGGTGAATCACCCCAGTCAAGCTCTTGCAATACACACACATCTAGAGTCAACCAGCTTCTATAAAATGTTACCCAACTGAACGTGAGAATACATTGTTCTTACTCTATGCTCTGTATTAGTACATTGAGGATTAATAATATTCTTTGAGTTTTCAAAAGATTTTATTAGAGCCAATTACTGTACATGTACATGTAAGTACCATTCACTTTGTTTGCCGCAAATGTCTTCATCCTTTTTGGTTTAGCATGGTGTTGTGCGAGATTGGAATGATATGGAAAGAATATGGCAGGTAAGTCCTACAAATTGCTAAGTCCTTATAATTTCTGTTGAGTAGTCACTCAGTTTTAATTTTTATTAATTTTATTTATTTTTTATTTCAAGTATATTTATTCCAAGGATCAGCTCCAGACCTTTTCTGAAGAGGTAAACATTGTGTGTTTGTGAATTTTTCCATACATGCTTTGTCAATCTTAGATTAAAAAACAAGTTGTACAGAATACATGTAGGTTCTTTTCAGTGCTTTGTTAGCATATGGGGTATTTTACTGTACGTTAAGTAAATCTATTTTAAATTAAACAATGAAATAAAAACTATATACAATTGTTTATAATATCAACAACAATAAGTTAAGTAAAATGAGTAGTGGGCTATAATGTACGCTGTACACCACTTTGAGTACTGCTCTTAGTATAAGACTGTTTTTTTTTTCAGTGTCTCAGGAATCTGGATGTTGATAATTTTTCAATACAACTAAACTTTTTAAAGTCTTTTTCAATGTTTCTTTTTTGCCCCTAGCATCCTGTTTTATTGACAGAAGCACCTTTAAATCCACGAAGAAACAGAGAGAAAGCTGCAGAGGTAAAATTCCTTTTTCAAGGTGGTAATTGGTTTTCAGTATTAGTGGTGGCTACAGAAACAGTCATTTTCACTGAAACAAATTTTGCTGCATGATACAGTAATGAGCACTATAATGTGTGCCTGGTACATGTACTTATCCCAGCTTGGTTTATGTTGTAGATATTTTTTGAGACATTTAACGTACCAGCCCTCTTCATCTCCATGCAAGCAGTGCTTAGTCTGTAAGTATTGAATGCTGTTAATTTTGCATTTAAAGAGGAGCATTAGAATTTTCTTCTTCTGATACCTTTTTTCTTCCAATTCTTCCATTAATCACCCATCCCCTGTTACTTGAAGAGTAGCATGTACAATTCATTGTTTCATCTTCATCTTTCCTGGGTATTTTGTGAACCAATTTAATGACCAGCTCCCAGTTGGTTTGCTAGCTTAATTGGGTAGAGCACTGCACCAGTATTGTGGAGGTCAGGGTTTGAATCCTGGCAAGCCTGATTTTCTTTTCAGGTGTTCTTTTCACAACTGCATAAGTTGCATATTCAACTGTGATGATCTTCTGTACATTTATGTGATAAAAAATGGTACTTATTAATCTATTATAGCTTGTATGTCTTCCCTATTGTTGTTTGTGTTCAGATATGCAACTGGTCGCACAACAGGAGTGGTTTTAGATGCAGGTGATGGAGTGTCGCACTCAGTGCCAATCTATGAAGGCTTTGCTATGCCACATTCTATTATGAGAACAGATATTGCTGGCAGGTGAGTGACTGTGTTGGTTGTTTGTTTAAAGTAAAGTTTTTGTTTTCTTTACCAAGGTGCTAAAAAAACCCAGATTCAGTCTTGATAGCTGTTTGATATTCAATCAGTCTGAATGTAACTTCATCAGGGTATACAGTGCACACGTACCAGTAGTTATTGATCACTTTTGGTTTTCATTTTATTGGAACTGGGCAATTTTTGGTCAGTTATTGTCTGGAGTGACTGACTGTTACTTGCAGCCATGTGTTGTTTGCGCTAGAAAACCACAGTGGTGAACACCATTATGATTTTAGCTCTTTTATCAACAGAGATGTAACAGCCTTTTTAAGACTACTATTAAGAAAAGAAGGATTCAACTTCCATTCTTCTTCAGAAATGGAAATAGTAAGGACCATCAAGGAGGTAAATTGTTAATTGTTCCTCTATCACAGCTTTGACAATAAACTGCAAACAGTGATTTTTTTTAACGTAATGGCAATGTATGAAATTACCACAATTCCTGTACAATGTACATCATTGCTGTAATTTATACAACTTTGATTAAGGTTTTGATGTCCTTTTATTCTTTTCTCAAACATACCTGATGCTCTCGTTTTTTTATTTCAGCGTGTATGTTACCTAGCATTGAATCCACACAAGGAGGTGAGAAAACTTTCACCAGCTTTCATAATGCAATGTGAACATGTAATAATCCAAATAAACATGAACTGTTGTTAATAAGTGATATGAACAATCTTTCCCAGGAGTCACTAGAAAGTGAAAGAATGCAGTATGTTTTACCCGATGGAAGTATGTTGGAGGTGAGTTAATGAATAAGTTGTGATATAAAATTTTATATGTTTATGAATGTTGTTAAATGCTGTACATGTAGGTACATAGAGAACAAACGCTTTTGGCATGTTGATGAGCACTACATCTGTCAGTCTAGACCTTTTTTTATCAAACCATTCTTTATTAACATGAAACACTTGGAATTAATTCTTTAGAATTTTAGTTTATTTTGTTTGATATTCACAGGTTGGCCCAGCACGTTTCAGAGCACCTGAACTTCTGTTCAAACCTGACCTTATTGGTGAGGAGTGTGAAGGAATCCATGAGGTAAAACTTCCTTTCCAAGCCTCGAAATTTACCCTTTACAGTGTAGCTTATAATTATGTTGTTCAAACTTGAGTGTTGTTAGAGTTAACATACTGTGTACCTTGTTTATTTATTTGTTATTTGTAAGTTTATGTACATGCCCAAAAAAAATGGCTGAAAGAACCCAGCACGAAGGAAAAACTGAACGCACCAATGAACCACATGATCGATGTAGCGAGCTACTGGGCATGTGCATGCCGAAGACTGCTGACCTCAGGCACTTAAGGCACTCTTAGTTGTTAACTCCTTTAAATTGCATTTAAATGCATATAACATGCATTATTATGTGGTTGAATCTGCGAGTAGACTTGTAAGAGGAACCAAATCCTGTGTTCTGATTGGCTACCCGAGGAGACAAGGTGGGCTCATCTTGCTGCTCAAGTTTTCCCGCATTGGTTCGGCAAGAAGTTCACTCTTTGACCAGATATAAAATCATGTATTGACAAAGCTTGCTCAGCCAAGATGGCTGGATATTTGCCTCGTTTTTTTTCTCTTTCTCTTTTACGGTTTTATTGATCTTCACTTCTTGTTGGTCCATAAATATGCAAACAAGAACCTGGCTAATATCCGGCCATCTTGACCCCACGATTGGACAATAACGCATATATCAGACTAGGAAAGCTTGGTCAATAAGGGAGCCTTTTCCCATTTGTTAGTTTAATGAGATATTATTACCTCGTGGTGTCACGTTGGATCTTGGAGAAAATCTTTTACACTTCTTAAGGCAATTTTGTAAGTTCTTTTTATCCTTGTGTAGGTTCTAGCCTTTGCAATTCAGAAATCCGATATGGATCTTAGACGAGTTCTTTACTCAAATATTGTGCTGTCTGGTGGATCAACACTTTTCAAAGGTAATGTTAGATACCTTGCAGTAAATCATGGTTTTTCTGTGCAAGATATTTATGTATATGGTAATATCTAAGATATTTTATCCCTTTTTTCAGGCTTTGGAGATCGTCTTTTGAGTGAAGTGAAGAAATTAGCACCAAAAGACATCAAAATTAGGGTATAATGTCATTATTTTGTTTGACACAATAACTCAGATATTGAGCTTTCTCCTAGAAACATTGTTCTTTTTTCAAGTTGTTCTTTAGCTACTGTATATTGTAAAGCATAAAGCAATAATTCACAGTTATTGTCTCCTAATTAGATTTCTGCTCCCCAAGAAAGACTTTACTCCACGTGGATTGGGTAAGTTGACATTCCCTTGCCTTTTTATTTTAAACAGCCTTGCAGTTTTATTCTAATGGTTTTGTTGTCTGGGGCAGTAAGCCTTCTTGACACTGTCAACTGTGTTAACACCAAATGTTTAGGTACAGTATCAGGTTGGCAAAATTGAAAATGGCATGAATAGAATGTTCTTTTTTTAAACCAGAAGCATATAACTCTTCTTTCAGTCAAAGAAATACAAGTATAGGCGTTGCAAGCTCAAAGTTTTTACCCTTGAATTCTCTGATTCCATACTTGGGCAACCCAGCATGGTTCTAAACAGATAAGGGGAAGTTAGACGCTTCGGGATTATATGCTTCTGGTTAAACACGGTCCAATGTTTTAGTAGTTGGTCCTTAACTTCAACGTAAACACGGAAAAAGAAGCAAACAAACAGCTTTCAAGGTGCAAACGGGTATACCCCGGGCTGTGGCTGCCAACGATTTTTTGTCACATGCATTATACAAGCTGCGTTGAAGTCGTCCGCTACGAGACAACAAACGGGTCACTAATAAGATTTTCCGAAACTGTGCATGAAAAGCCTGTGGCACCCGGGGTAAACAGGGTACCAGTTCTTGTTGATGATTATTTTCATTCCTGTCCTACTGAAATAGTTGTGCTCATCAAGCTTGCGTGGTCAGTTAGATGCTAATATTTACTCTCTTGTCCGTCTTTCAGTGGCTCCATTTTAGCGTCTTTGGACACATTTAAGAAGATGTGGGTTTCTAAAAAAGAATATGATGACGAAGGTGCTAGAGCCATACATCGGAAGACATTCTAAAGTTATCTGATCCGAGTTTTTTTAGTTAAATTATGTAGATCAGATATGATAGGGAAATTTTTGTTTAAAGGTGAACTGAGATTGTATATAAATATAATTATATATGGGCGGCTGCCATTACTCGTGTCTGCTTCAGGATTTCGCTGAAATTCTGTATACACGACACAGACAGTCAAGTATGTCCTAAGTGTCAAGCAGAGATGAACAATCTCCTAGATCGTCTTTAGTTAACTGTAAGAAATTGTAATGTTGAAAATGAAAGTGGCTATCGTTTTTAGGAAGAAAGGTGTCTGCTTATAGCAAGCTTAGAGCCAAAAGTCCACAGTAAATTCCGTTCAACTTCGTTCCCAGGATCTCCCTTTATTTAGGAATTGAAAGGAGAGAGACCTGGTGAGGAGGTTGCACACTGTTGGGCCATTGGCTAAATGTCCATCTATGAGAAGAGCCTGCATTAAAGAGAGTCGAACAATGACTGAAATATGGCAGCGACCAATTCTAGGCGTCCATTTTAGGGAGATAGGAAAGAGTTGACTGTAGTGGGAGTTATTTATTTGCAATAATTCTTAGTTTCCTTGTATCGGCTCCTGCTCGTAAGTTAGGGTCAAGTCGCCCGAAGAAATGTCGCCCGAATTCATTTAAAGTTGTAGCCCTTCTCGGCTCCGCCAAAACTCTCGCACGCACAAAAACAATTCCGCCAGCTACGCAGGCAAGGCCTCTCCAAGCTTATTCGTTTTCATTTTTTTTTTACGATAAATCATCAAGAAATCATTGCTCGCCTTGCTGGTATTTCTAATGTGCGACACATTTTACCTGTCGCCTAAGTTGAAATTTCGACTGAGGGCCTGTTTACATGGAGGTGGGGGACCCCAGGTAGGTGAGCTAACCCGCTTTGGTGGGATAACGCGCCTTTCCATACAATCTCTCCTTTTAATTTGATCACGTTTACATAATAGGTGGGGTTAACCCGTCGCATTTTACCTCACCCATCTGGGGTCCCCCACCTCCATGTAAACAGGCCCTAATTCGGGCGAGATAACTTCGGGCGAAATGACCGTCAGGGTAAGATTCAGACTCAGACCCCAAAGCCCGAGGGCATCTCATCAGCGGGACAGCCCCTCGGGAATTGGAAGTTTTCCTACAGAAATACGGGGTTGAACAAAAGCCGCCTTGTCATGAATAAACTTAACATAAACATGATGTAAATGTGGTTCATTTGATTTGCTCGCCTCGATAATGTTAAATTATAGCCAATGAGGGTTTTTGTATAGTACTATGGCCATAGATCACAATGTCTGCTTTAAAGGTCGGAACAGGCTTTTGGCAGCGGCAAATAAAGTGCATAACGTAAGCAATTGTCGCTTGATGTTTTCAAAACGAGGATGACGCTGAGAAGTGTAGAAGGGTTATCGAGATCATAAAAGTCCTGTAAAAAGAATCAGAATCGATCTCTGGTTAAGCGAGAAAATGGAAGTATCAATAGCATCTTGGAACGGGGATAATGAGGAATGAAAATGTTTTTGGAGAACGGAAGAATTAAATATTGATTCTGAATTGTTCTTACCATTCTGCACTATAACTAACAGATCTCTTAAAGTAAAATGTGTCTTCGTCATCTCTTCAGAGGTTCGGGGATGTGTGTAGGAGGACTCGCCTGGCTCTAACCCGTCTTACCTACGTTGAAATCTATACTTACACTCAAGCGTCCATACTGCTGGAGTCAGCGTAATACGGTTTCGTGTAGCAAAAAATATGGGAATAAAAGTATTAAGACTTGCCGAGGCTAGTGTATTTACAGGTTTCTCCTAAAAAAGTTAGAAATGCCAGGAAGGTGTCTGGAAGACTTAAAAGGTTTAGAGAGACTTCAAGCGACTAACTATCTCTTTTAACCGCCCTGTCCCATCTCTTTCCCAGCATGCTAATTTCAACTTAAGCTTGCATCTTTCTGGTTCCAAGGCGTCCTTCCTGACGATTAACCGGCCCGCGAGGTGTCTTGGAAAGGATGCGTGGCGCTTCTTTCCCAGATTTGCATCCATCCATTTCGAAGCTGCGCTCGAGATTGTGGCGGTATTGTTTAGAATTGCGTAGTACTGTGACACTGTTTTGGGGAAGGAATTTTGTCCTAGTTTCCTGTGCAGCTCTGTAATGGTCGTAAATAGCCTGCGCGGCAGGCGCGTTTTTTCCCTTTCTCCCAATCCCCTTCCCTTTCCCCTTTCGACGACTGCTACGCAGGCTATCCGAATAAAGGTCGTAAAGTCAGCAAAAGCGTTCCCAAAGAAGTCCCATGTTGCAATTCGGCACAACACCGACTCAGTCTCACGCGAAATCTTAAAATGGCGAATGATGCTCCATTGCTCCATACTTTCTGTTGTTCGCGTGCTGCCAATGCAGAGTACGGAGAGTTTTGTTACGTTTTGTTTATGAGCATGCGAAGGTAAAGCAGACAAATAAATGTCAAGGATAAAACCTTTATTAACATACGTCCTAAAGGGCTGACAAAAATAACTGCAATAAATTTCCTTTGGTTTTCAACTTGAAAACTTTTCTCATACTCTAACACAGTTTCACTGACTGGAGCTGACAGCTTTTCAGAGTCCTTTACTTTGTTCCTGTTGAAAATAACAAGAGCGTATGTCTCTCAAAAGGTACTCAATGACTTTTTAGTGATGTAGATAACAGTTACAAAGCTATACGCTTGCATGGAAAAAACAGTCTTGTTTGGCGGCCCTGTTGATCTAGAGCAAGCTTAAAGGTCCTTTTTAAGGCGTCATCATTATTAGCCTAAGAAAACAGCCGACATTTCACGACACCACCACTGGTTTCCCCACTAAATGACGTCGAAGCCAGTGGTACAGTGGCGTCGTGGAATGTCAGCTGTTTTCTAAGGCTACATCATTATTATATAACACCCTTGTTGAGCGGGTTTTATCTGTTCTGAGAGTTTTGGAAATTTGATGCGGAAAAACTACGTTTTAAGCGGTCAGTTCTTGCAAGTGGCTTTGGCGGGATGAGGTTCAAGGAGACAGACACTCCGTGATCTTGTCGCTAATTGAACATGCATGCTGCTATTATCTTACCGCTGTCTTACCTGGAAAAGGCTACACTGCAGTGGGATAACTTTAGATCCAGATTACAACACGTCGATGACCCTGAATAACCAAAAAAAATTAATTTTAAGACAAAAGTTGCCGAGGACAGTGGACAGTACTTTATGGTCTTTGTATGACATCGTCCATAGGTGTTTAGTCCTTGCTTTTGGTAAATAAAATAGATTTATAAAATTACCTGGAGTAGGAAGTTTCTGGATTCTGATTGGCCGTTTGCGGGCCTGCTCGAGCTCACTGCACACCATATATGGAGAGTGAATTTCCACGATCATCTCCAAAGCCCAGACCGTGGCCAGGCAGCCATCATACCATCCATGGCTACACTTTTCCCCCTTTGTTAAAACACCTAAAACCATTGAATCAAAATAGGACTCTTAATTAACACAGTTTTTCTTTCAAGATTCCCTAAAGACGCTGCCACCAAAGTTAAACAATTAATTTTTCTCTTCTTTTTTCTTTATGAGGACCAAAGCGGTTGTGGACACCATAGGATGACATCGCCCATAGGTTTTTAGTCCGGCCTTGCAACTGCGATCGGTAAATAGAACAGATTTATGAAATTACCTCGAGAAAGATGTTTCGGACGGTTCCTAAACGCCTTATACAGAGGAAGCTTTTCCACTAGAATCATTTCCAAAGCCCAGACAGTGGCCTGGCATTCATCACACCATCCACATCTAAAGTCTTTCGGTGTCATATAAACTCTGGTGCCTGAAACACCTAAAATCATTCAATCAAAGCAGGACTCTTAATTAACACAGCTTTTCTTTCAAGATCCCCTAAAAGCGCTCCCACCAAGGTTAAACTGAATCAGTTATTCCCTTCCATTTGTCTTGAAACTTTTTAAAGACCAAAGTTCCTTTTGGACACTAGACAGTGTCTTGGGATGACATCGCCCATAGGTTTTTAGTCCTTGCGATGAGTTAACTGAAGCAGTTTCAGTCGTAAATGAGTAACATGTATAGGGAGCTTCAAACTCTCAACGAGAATAGCTTTTCATTTGTAACGGACTTGTGGCTGTGGATTTGCGGATTTGTGGCTGTCGTTTGTGTTTCACTTAATTCCCCGGCTAGCCCCTACTTAGTATTAGAATGTTGTCAACGACAATTTCAGTGCCGATCATAGCCGAATGAAGGTTGGAAGCAGTATCTGAACACACAAAAGAAGATCGCGAACAAAGCGCTACTGTCTTTGAAAAATGCAACCATAACAATAGGCAAAGTTTGATACGAATAAAATAGACTATGAAATTACCTGGAGAAAGATGTTCCGGACGGTTCCTAAACGCCTTATACGTAGAAAACTCTTCCACTAGAATCATTTCCAAAGCCCAGAGAGTAGCCTGGCAGCAATCATACCATCCAAATCTAAAATCTGTCGGCATCATATAAACTCTGGTACACGGAATGCCTACAGTCATTAGATCAAAATTATCAGAGCTTCTCTTTCAAATTCCTTAAGGGAGCCGCCACCAAAGAAATCTTAATTTTCTTATTCTATTCCAACGAATAGTCAGTTCACTTTTGTCAATGAAATAAAAATGTCAACTCATTAGTTTCAATGCTCAGTTCCAAAAACGTATTGACTCGATATTGCTAATAGACGGCATCCCATGAGCTCAGGAGACTTTCTTTCTTTTGTTGTACGGTGTTGTTCTGCGAGCAAGCTTTTTTGTGGGGTGAGGAGACTCTGAACGACTGGAGTTTGCCTCCGTTGCTTGCAGGAAGACATGTTGTTTTAGAGTGTTCAGGATCTAAGGAAGCAGAGGACTCTTAGGAAGTCGATGTGAAGCTTGCTTGCGGCAAACTAGTTTTCAATTCCACGCTTTTCGTATCCGGCTTAGAAGACCCTTAAAACGAAACAAAAATACTGAAAACACTTACTATGAGAACAATCTTTGGCGATCAATTCTGCTAGGTCAGTTTCCTCCTCTTTTGTAAGAGTAAGTGAACTCAAACAATCTGAAGTCACCAAGGGGAGGCCATGTACTTCATCGCAGGATTTGTCCTTGCTAAAGATCAGGAAACAAATCGTATTTTAGTAGTGGCAAGCAGCATGTATCTTAAGGCTGCATTATAAAAAATAAGTCGCCGTCTTGACTAAATCTAACAGAAAATGACTCAAATGATGCGGTGGGCTTAAAAGAGCGTGCGACAAATGATCACTGTATTCTCAGTGTATTCTCCTTTACAAGGGCTAGTTGAGGACTTCCGTTTGATCTTTCCTGTTATACGGAAGCTCTTAGTGTTAAGATTGAATGTTTTTCGGATACAGTCACTAAGTACATGATAAATATGTTCAGCATAAAACTTACTCAAACGAATTGGAGGAAGTGTATTCTACGGGACCTACAAGAAAAAAAAAAAGAGACCTTTCATATGTTAAAATCTCAATAAAGACATCAAATCATAACACCTGCCTCCTCCTCAGGCGCTTCGTTCTTCGCATGGCAGATGCGAGCGCGAAACCAGTGACTGGTGATGAACCGCAAGGGACCATGGGAAGGGTACAGACGCCCGTTGTCTCCTTCCCGCCTTCCTTTGCGCGCACGTTTTAAGTTAAAGAGAGACGTCTGGGTACGAGGCAGTCATAACACGTTAATCGATATCGCAACGAAAACCGCAAAGCCTTTTGAAATCTTTGAAAGTAATTTGGCAGATCGCTGAGACCCTGTCCTTTTTGTGTTTCTTCATGCTCTCCACAAAAACGACAAAAAGATTTTTAATATTTATTGATATTCAAAATATACCTATTGTAACCATTATTAACAAAGCTCACTTCAAAACTCTTAATAGACTGCATCTTGCAGCCCGTGAAAAATCAAAGTCAGATTGAGGCAGAATTACGGTAGTGTGATAGTGAATTACATTTTTATTCGTTATATCAGTACCTGAATCCTGGCAGTTCAGTGACCGTTCCATTGCGTGATGATGCTGAACTTTGTCTGGCAGGAAGACCTCAGCTGAAATTTGGAATGGAGATTGATGTATAATGACTTTGAGATGTTCCTAATCGATAAAAGTTCAGTGTTTTGCGGAGCCTACGCTCTTAGTCGACTTGTCTAATTTTTCATATTATATTTCTGTCGTAAGTATTCTACACCACACGACTGAGCCACCAAAAAGGGCGAATTTCCTTTTCGGTGGTGCAATAAATTTCTTATTTACGGACTGACTGTTGAGGAGATTTTTCGGTGGCTCCTGGCTAGTAAGGGTTGGTATCTTAAATATCTATTAATATTACCTGGTGAAAGAAGTCGCGGGATTCTTGTGGACAGTTTATGAGCCAGCTTGGGTTTACTAAACACCATATATGGAAACGTCATGTCTAATACGATCATTACCAAAGCCCAAACAGTGGCCTGGTAGCCACAATACCACATCATACATAACACAGTCAAGGGTTGAAAAATGTTGCAATCAGTTCCTTGAATATCCTCTTTCATGGCAGTTAACTTGCTTGTGTTTTGTATATCCACAAACGTTTCAGACTCCACTTGAGAGGATGTAAGCGCCGATGAATTTGACGACTTAAAAGAGTGGCTTCTAATAGAATCTCTGAAAACAACAAAGACATACCTTTCTCGTAAAAGGTACATTTTCTTTCTTGTTTTATTTTGCTTTAAATCGTTCCTTATTAATTCATTCAATGATTAATTTAATGCATTTATTCATTGATTTACTTATTAATACCGATTTCTATATTTGCTGGACAGAAGTCTAATCGATGAAGCAGACTTTTCATTCTGCCGGATTCCTCTCCTACTCAGCGTTCGGCTAAGATTTTATGGTCGGGTGTCAGTTAAACGCTGTCGTGGGGGTGGAGTTCGGGGTTTGTGTGTTCTTTCCTTCCGTTTTCATTTTCGATTATTAGTTAGGGAGAAAAAACGGTAAATGAAACAAAAGAACAGTGGAACCAGACTCCGAGTCGGCGTTTTTCTTAGATTCAGATCAGGACTGAGGTTGTGTCATGGAAAGACATCAATATGATCATGTTTAAAGCTTCAGTTCACACAATCAGTCCACTCGCTTGTTAAAAAAAACTACAAGAACACACGTTTTCTTGTTTTCAAAAACTGTTTTAATTTGGTGCTCGATTTATTAATTAAGGAGAAGCGATTATGTCGCTTTGCACTGACCTGGAAGAGTTGGTACTGAAGGATGTGGTGCAATCGGTCGACCCAGAACCTGAAGCAGATGAACCTGAATAACAACAAAGAAAGGTTTGGGCGGGAAAACTACAAGCTGTGTTAGCTTTTTTGCTTGAGAGATTGTTTGAAAATGGCAGCAGATGAATAGGTAAGATCATTTGTTGCGAAATTTCTCTTTGATACGTTCTCTGATCATGACAGCTTGAACATGGGTGATGTCATCAACGTCAACGTTCGGAACATCGGAAGATACTCAACTTCAGCGACTGTAAGTTATTATTGATTGAATAACCTCATGCATAATTACTGTAACATTCATATAGTGTTGCGCGCTCACAATTGCAGAAGCATCAACAAAAATGAAATGAAAAAAAAAAGAACTTTTTCTGTTCTAGTGGAAGTTCAATGTGTCCGAAGGAGACCTCGCTCATGCACGCAAGGGGCTTTCAAACTTAGTTTCAGTGAGCATTGATGGGAGCAGCCCAGCCTTTTTTATGTTTCGTCTAGAATTTCATCATCTTGAGATAAGAACGAAACAAGGAAATCAAAGGCACTTACCGAGCAAGCACGGTTTGGCAATCAATTCAACTCGGTCGGTTTCATCCTGTTTTGACAGAGAACAACTCTGCAGACCGCACAAAGTCACCGAAGAAAGTTCATCTGCTTCATCACGGCATTTGTCCTTGCTAAAAATCAGAAAACAAATCATTGTAATTAGTGGAAAGTGACATGCATTCAGAACAAAAAACGCTGAAAAAAGCCTGCTTTTTAGTAAGGAAATTAGAAGCAACATAAATTGCATGGTTGAACTGATGGATTAGGCTTGTAAGAAGGTAGGATACTTGGCCGATAGCCAGTCATCCCAGTCTACTCGTTCCGCCCTCATTAGCTAGAGATTTCTTTGTTATGACAAAAGGGTTTTTCTTGGGATCCAGCTGAGTCACCAAATAAGCACACGATATGTGTTTAACATACAAACTTACGCAAGGATGTTTGAAGAAACGTTTTCTGGTGAACCTAAAAAAAAGAATACAACAGCCTTGTGAGAAGTTTATATCCTTACAAAGATATCAATCATAACTGAAAACGTCAAGCGACAATGTCTATACTTGGAAGGAATTCTGTTTTGCAGGAACGCCGAGCAATGCTTTGTGCGGGCTTCACGGCGTACAGAGAGTCAAAAATTTTACAGGCATCGCCCTGGGGAAAGGAGACAAAGCTCCTACAATGGTGCAAGTCAACAGCAGTGTACAGTACCAGCTCAGTATTGTTTACCTACCTTGCATATTAAACCAAGGATGGTTTAAAATTTGTCGCAGTGTCGGTCGATTCATTGGTACAACATTCAGCAATGAGCTGATCAGGTTCTTGGCCTCTGTTGAAATGAAATTAAGTAATAAAAGTTGATATGTAACAGTAAGACTTTAAAATATATCAAATGTTACAGAACTTCTCAGCTAGTCTAGTCTAGGTTTTTTCGATATGCAATAGGGAGCTCAAAATAATTACAAACGTGGACGTTTTCGTTGAGACTATTTGTGTTGATTTTGAATTTGGGGCTGATAAATTTAACAAGGCTATACATAAGTCTTATTTGAAGGCCAGATACTTTTTAAGTAACAAACTGGATTCCCTTGTTTTTCCCTTTTATCAATGCAGTATAGTTCTCTTACTTACTTATAAACGAAATTTGCCATGGACAACGTATTGGGTTATTATTGGCCATAGAATTTTGGTCTACAAGCTTAGTAAATAAAATGTATTTATTCATGATATTACCTGGTGATAGATGATGTGGGATCCTGGGTGGCCTGCTATAGGCCTGTTCGGGCTTACTAAACGCCATATATGGAGAAAGCATGTCCACCAAGATCATCCCCAAGGCCCAGACAGTAGCCTGGCAGCCATCATACCATCCAAATCTAAAATATTCCGGCGCCATATAAACCCTGGTACCTGAAACATTTAAACCAATAGCTATTTAAGTCACAAACGGTTTGATAAACGCTTTTAGTTTTTTTAAAAAAGAGCTACTATTAAAAGTGCGTTACTTCTTTATCACTGACACATACTGAAAAAACAAAAACACACAAAAAACAAATAAACAAACAAACAGACAAACTGACTGACTAACTATTACATAGCCTACCTCTAAACAAATTATAAGGTTCATATTGTATCTCAGACGCCAGACCAAAGTCGATTAGTTTGACTTCATCGGAATCCAAATCAACCAGGATATTTTCTGGCTTAAGATCCCGGTGAATAAATCCGTTTTCTTCGCATTTGATGTTTGCTTCAATGATCTGGGTGAAATACCTCCGAGCTTCTTTCTCTCTCATTGTTCTATCAAATAAAAGGCTGCCCAAATCCTGACAGTTTTGCGGCCTTTCCATGACATAAGCGTAATAGTTTCCAGTTGTAAAGAAATCGTAAATCTTAATCACGTGACGATGTTGAACCTTGATCATCCAATAAACCTCAGCTGGAATTTTCTTACCATTCACCTTAAAGGAAAAATTAGAATACAACGACTTTTAACATTTATTACACTGTGGTTATTTTGAACGAGTTCATGAGTAACATATGTTTACTATAAAATAGACGAACGTGATCAAGAGAGAATAAGGGACAGTGAGGGAAACGCCCAGTCTACCCGGCCCTGGTATATGTGAACTTCAACTAAGTTATTTTTAGATTAACTAAACGTTTGAAATTAATCGGAAGTTGGTTTCTGGAAGGATTCTCAAAATTTTCTTCAGTGTTGACCAAAAAAGAGAGTTGCTTTAAGGCAGTCACGTGTGGAATTGATGACAGTTCAATCAATCGATAAAAATGTGCCGACGTCCCAGGAATTAGACTTCCGTTTTTTTTTTTTATAACCTCTCAAAATAACTTAAGTGAAATTCACATATCCCGGCCACCTGTCCTAAGATTCCCTCTTCTGTTCCATTATTCTCTGTTGACATGATTTAATCCCTGCCGAAAAGTGCTATTACCACATGAATAACAGAAATTAGTACAATCCAACTAGTGGTCTGTTATCAATGCTGCGTTCTGATTGGTTGAGCTACTACTAGGCTATATGTTATAGTCCAGTAGTAGCGCCTGCTTCGAAAACCAAAACAATGGCGGCTGAATCGCGTTTTTCTAAAGTTGCTTTGTCTCGATATTTTTGACCAATTAGTTGGATTTTACTTAAACAATTATTCCTCTCGCCCTTATGGCCTCTGAGTCAATAGCCCATTCTGCCGTCGGCCTCATGGGCTATTTGACTCAGAGCCCATTCGCTCATTCGGGCTCGAGGAATAATTGTTAATGATATATACTACTTTTGCTGTTTCGGTCTAACCTCTTTAAGGTCCTTAACGGAGCGTTTATCAACAAATTTAATGGCCACCTGAAATTAAACAAAGAATCAAATGTAAGAATTTTTTGAAATTTGGATGATTTTGTAACTTTTATTTCTTTGATTTTTTAATTTTTTACATATCATATCTACCTATTTTTGTCTTTTTCTTACCGGCACATTATCAGCCTTTCGTGTGGCAGCAATGACTCGACCAAATCCACCTTCGCCGAGCTCATGTTCCATATGGTACTGATCAAGATTATCTGCAGATCACAAAAATTAGATACTAGAATCCACAGCTAAGTACAGGCGTAAACTTACATACTAAACAGTTTTCATTTTGTAGTATGCGGAGAAATTTGGCGGGGCTTCAGAATCGTGATCAGAACGTCCAGTGTTCGAGTATCCCTCGGAGCTCTGGTGGTAGTTCCCATTTCAACTCTTCTGACACCATTGCAAATAATAACATATTTATCTCAAACCTGCCAGTTTAGATGCCTATCATAACGTTTTAGAAACTTGCTCTAAGAAATAATGTAGGGAATTATTGTCCCTTAGAAAGACTTTAAAAAGGGGTAATAAGCAGGCATTTATTCGTTTATTTATTTATTTATTTATTTCATGTATAGCGCTATATTTATGTTTAAACTTAAATACTCCAGCAAAACAGACCCACTGGACTAGAGATAAAGTCGATTTCTGTTGTTATAACCCGCTTGATATTACTGTTTCTTCCTTAGAGTGGGATGCTCGTCTTTTGCAGATTCCTCCCCCTCCCCCACGAAATTTTATGATACAAGTTGTTTGAGAAAAGATCGCTATATTACGGTGAGTTGGTCAGCATCCCGGAAATGTGTGAGGTCCAACGCCTGTAAATGTAGTCTTTTCGACCACAACCCGCTTTCATTTTTGACTTAATACCTTCCAAGTTGCTGTTTACTGTAATTTCCCGTTTGATCTCTTCTTGTTCTTGGAAGGAAGAATTCGGTGAATTCGACATCGATATCGGGAATACGTCAGCTTGGTCCTTGCTGCTTTTGTTAATACTATTCATTTCCTAATAAGATGAAAAAGAAAAAAAAAAGAAAAAACACGTTTTTTCTGAATATCAGTCCGCCGCTAACCGTAGACCAGGGCCTGGGGAGAACATAATTGATTGACGTGTCGAGTGTCATATCAGGTGTTTCCGCCATCTTTAAAAATGTGCCTTTCTTGTTTTTTTTTTGTGGTGTTGAAACCAAAAAAAGAGTGTTTGTCTTTTGGGCATATCTTTCCACATCCTGACTGAAAAAATGGTCGCCAAAAGACCTGATGACCGAAACTTGGTAAGTTTCCCGGTTTTTTTTAAAGAATCCTTTTCTAAACTTAAGCTTCAACTTGAAAAAATTAAGCTTACGTTCACGAAATCTTAGCGCTGTTCAAAAGGTATTTTCAACGAACTTTAATACGATTCCATCCTTATAATCGTGAAAGTAACTTTGCTCTAAACATGTTTTAATCAAATTTTAAACAGTAAATATTACCGCCATTTGTTGGTATTGATCAGAAAAAATATTTCAGTTTCAATTGGAAAAATTCTGTTAAAATTATCTTCTCTTCTTCACTTTACCCTTAAGCTTATGAAATTTGACTAAGTACTTTATAGAGTAAATTTACTATATGGGCATTTTAGATTTGAGTATATATATATTTTTGTCAGCTAACCTTTCTGCAGCTGAGCGCTTGACTCTTTCTCTTCCTTGAGTCCTCAACTTCTTTCACGTAGTTAGCGATTTTCGCTTTCACTAAATGGGAGCGATTGCTCGGTCGATCATCTGTGCTCTTATTATTTTCGTCCAACATTGTTAATATGTTGAAAAGTTAGCTCAATACGTTTTGAACAAAACTTCTACACTGCATAAAACAGCAAGTCTTTTTGCAACTAACGGTTTCCATGGCAAAAAATTGGTTTCTATGGCGAATTGTGACGTTATTTTTTATTCTGTTGCACGCGCTTGTTTGAAATAATAAAAGCGTGAGCGATAACTTGCCTCGAAAGTAAAGAAAAATGAGTGCGACTTTTCCTCTTTCCTAGTTTAAAACAGTAAATGTTTTGCGGAGTCTTAAAATATTCAACATAACGCTAATTAAAAAGCGTGCGTGTACTACTGAAGTGAACACTTCAGTGTTGCCTTATGTTTAGGTAAGGCCTATTAGAATTTAATCTGTAATGAGAACCAACAATGGGAACAGAATAAAAGATCATAAAAAAATGACGTAGGATTTGAAGTTGCAGAATGAAAATGTTTTTTTGTTCGTGTGTGTGTGGTGTGACATGCTCCTCTTCTTTCTCTATGAGAATACATTTTGGCGCCCAGCGTTTATAGAGCGTTAGCTCTGGGGTGCTGGGGGAAAGGCAAACTAATGGCCATTACCAAAGCTGTATAACTGACCAGCCGGACCGGCAGGAGCCTCCTGGACCGGTTATTTTGAAATACTAAGATACAGTCTTTTTCCGAGTTTACCCTACATCCCTATCAGTGTCCGTACTCACTGGGTAGGCATATCTGTCTGGAGCCCACCTGTACATCTGTACAATCTACACGTACCTGGGCTGACTGTGGAGAGTAGTGCCCAGTCCCTTTCAGGCCAAATTACACATGGTGGCAACATGGCGGATTCTTTGTCGCCAGCTGAAGTTTTGTAGCGTTTTACAACACTCTTCTTTGTTTTGGTTTTGGATACTTGCAAAAATGGTTCGGCATAGGAAAGGAAAACACGCCTTAGATTCTTCTAAAGATCATGATGACAGATCTAAATTCACACGGCGCCGAGGAAAGCAACCTTCATTGAAACCATTTCTGCTGTTGGCAGCTGTTTTTGGAATTCCTCTGTGTATATTCGGAGCGTTTAAACTTTGGAATTACAGATTATCTACCCGTCTTTACACTCCGCTTAACGCACCGTTAGTTATAAACAAATCTGAGAGTGACATGAGCCGCTTCTGGGGAACTTATCGTTCCAATTTGTACTTTGGCCTTAGGTGAGAATCAGAAATTATGTCAATTTTAGTTAAATTTTCAGGGCTATTCTAACAACAACGCCAATTGCTAAGGGGGACTTTGAAATTTATGACTGAGCGGGTGACTACACTTTGATATCTGGAGTACTTCTTAGGGATATGGCAAAAAATTCCCTTTTTTGTGGTTGGAAAGAAAAAACAAGCTTTTCTGAGGAGGGGAGATGGAACAGTGCTGGGACTTTCTTTGGGCTAAAAGTCAGGGTCTGGCTATTAAATGGAATGGACGTCAATAGTTTAATGTAAGATAAACTTAGGGTGTGTTACTTTGGGTAGATCTGACAATAGATTTTTGATATTAAAAGCCTGAAAGGGACTTCACATGCCTTTTGGCAAATGCAAGTCCAAGATTTCTGAACTTGTGAATCCTTGCTGGATTTAAAATCCACAATATTTTCAGATGGGAACTGGAATTACTCTACAAACTCACTTGTTGATGTAGTAGGCACTTGATTGTGTTAGTGCAACAAAACTCTATTTGCCACGGATAGAAGACTCACGAAGATCTTGAATTCCCTGATATTCGTTGATTAAGAAAGATCTGCTTTTAAAGTGTCATAGGAGGTCTTCCACCCTATTTGAGCTCATGTAGTGAGATAGGTACCACAGCAAGAAAACCTTTCAGGAACTTACGTGCTTGTCTTAACATGGCACACAAAAGTGGCTTTGATACTTATCTATTATGCTTTATTGGAGAACAAAAAACTTTGCATAGTTTTTAACATTTTCCCCTCCTTTCTCTGTAATTCATGTGTTACTAGTGCTTTGATTATGTTGGCACTATTTGAGTTCCCAACCACAGACTTTTCCACATCATTTCTTGGGAGACCATCATATTAAAAAAAGAGGAAGGAAATCTACAATCCTCACCAAAAATCCTTGAAACCCCTATTTATGCACATCCCTTTCCTTCTGCAATGATGAGATGTGATTGCAAAGCTACGTGGCTACAACAACATTGCAAAAGGGAGGGGGAAACAAAAAGGATCAAAATTTTCCAAAGTGTCTCAAGGTTTTTGTCTGAGATTGTAGGATCAAAAATCTGGTTTTGGTTTTGTTAAAAGGAACACCCCCTGAGTATTCATATTATTATAGAAATAAGTTGATTGAAGCCTGAATAAAAGTATGATTGGATGAAAGTACGTCAAACTAGAAAACCTATTTTTCAGCATGATAAGTCGTGAAAAGTTTCTGATTCATCAAATGAATGTACCATGTAGAAAGAAAATAGGTCCTACCTCAACTAGATTTATTTGTTGGAACTTTATGTGTGCATAAAGATACAAAGAGATGGCTGACCATTGCTACCACAGTACTACAGCTACTGAACAAGGATGCTTGGAATGTTTCATAAATATAACACATGGTGAAATCTTCTCTAGCAATTGATAGCCGCTTGTTTTCTTACAGTAAAGTCACTGTACTAGCAAGCAGTTTTTGTTCATCTTTTTTTGCATGAAAAGATGCTCCTCAATGATTTTCTTTGTTTCCTCAACACTGCTTTTGAAAACATACATACTGGTAAAAAAGTTAGACCTATTTTCACTGTTGAAGAGAAACTGGTCAGATTTTTTTAAATTTTCTGGGGATGGGTGACTTGGTTTCCCTGTAGAAGTTCTTGCCTTATTGCATTATCAGGAAGCAAATGCATTTCCTTATTGATCCATGCATGAGATGTATATTGATGAAAGACAGAGGTTAATATTATTGTAACTCATTTTAATAATATTTTTTCGCTAGAACACGCAGTCGTAAGTCCTTGATGACAGGATTGATGTGGTTCCCTCAGTATGCTCCTGATGGACAGTTAACCATTCGCCACACTTGTGAACAGTCTGATGGGTTGCTGAAGTATGGCTGGCTTAAACATGATGGCACTAACTTTGGATCTCAAGAAATAGTTGACAAAGATTTTGCTTTGGTGACAGACTTTGTAAAACGATCGGGTGGAGATCATGGAGGGGATTGGACTGCAAGAATTTCTGGCAAAGAAATGGTTTGGCCAGCTTTAGTATCTAAGTACAATACACACAGCATCTTTTGCATTCTCAAATTAGATTTTAGTTTTTGAGGTCTTTTTCCTAAACACTTGTAAGCCCAGCTGGGCAAAGGTTGTAAAATTACAACTACGTGTCCAATAATACCTGTATCTTATCCTGTTCCAGGCATTCAGATAGTGGAATGTAGCTTGAAGTCAGAAAGTGGGCAAAAATAATAACAACCCACCCCTACCCCACCCCCTCGCTGTTTGTGCTACTCACATCTTTTTGCACCGTCCCCACAATCTGAATTTCAGGAATAGGCTATCTGTGTCTCTGCCTCTTGTTGTTTTAGTTCTGGAAACTTATTTCACATTGCTGTGTTTTAAGTTGATGTCAGTTCTGATGGTAACTAAGGACCAAGTGACGTAATAGCAATCTCAGACTATGTTCAAACTAGGCTCCCTTGCAGGCGTTTTTAGGGGAGCTTGTATTTTGTCTTTTCTTAAATGCCTGCTCAACTGAGAACAATATTCCTTTTTCCATTGTTTTATTCGTGTGGCAAGTGACTAATCAACAGTTGTGAAATAAAGTGTTGATGGGACTCAACAGTTGTGTAATTAGTAAAAATGTGACCCCATAGTTACCTTTTTCCTTCTTTTCTTTCCTTCGCTAAGGTTATGTACTTCACGGTGTATTCTAAATTCTGACTAAATCTTACTTTTGCTGCTCCGAGTCTGACATTTATTAGAGGTCATAAAGCTTTCCTAGTGTTTCATGCAGATGGAGTAATTATAGGGTTACCCTGTGGTCAGGTCAACTTTCCAGAATTTGGAAAGTACAATGTGATTGGCTGAGTGTGGGAAAGGAATGTTTTTGTTGAGCAGGCGTTTGTGGGGAGGGACGAAATATGAGCTCCCCTAAAAACACCTGCATGGGAGGTTATGTTCACACTATAGCAGCTAGATTTTTGTGCCAACATGAAAAGCTATCCTGTATAGTAGGCTGAATTAGCAACAGAATGGGAACGTCAGTTGACGACGGCGCACGCAGATCAAACAACTGGCTTGACCAATGGCAGAGTGGCAAATTGGGCACCGGAAGTCGTGTTTAGTCCTTTTCGCGCTTTCCCGTCGTCAACTGACGTTCCCGTCCTGTTGCTAGATCAGCCTAGTATAAACACTAGACTGGCAGCAGTTTCAGCCATGAGGAACCAGTCTCTCCTCCTTTTTACAATTAATTTGCATAATTTTACTTTTTCTCTTGCCGCACATGGCTCTGTGGAATGAAGGATGACTGCTTGAGGTCAATATAATCTCAACTTTAGAGATTGGTGCTACACAGCTTTGCTCCATTAAAGAAATGGCACCGAAAGCACCATTCTTATGTGTGAACAGATCTCTATCCTGTATGGTTTTCGGTGTTAAGGCCGATTTAGACGGTATGATTTTTGCTTACGACTATCGTGCGCGACTAGCATACGCCATGACTTCATGACAGATTGTATTGTGTAAATTTAATTAGACCCAGGACATTCGTAGGACACATTGTGGATGTTGTAAGTGAAAATTGTGTGGAAGATTGAAAGTCATGGTCATGATAGTCATGATAGTGTTAAGCAAAAATTGTACCTTCTAAATCGGCCTTCAGAAGTTTTATGCTTTTGTCGCTGGGAGGACCTTGTATTGGTGTTTTATTTTGCCAGTACACCCACAACATCTAAATATTAATATTATTTAAATATCTAATTATTGATAAATTATGACAATATTGATTAATTTATATTTTCATATTACTTACAAAAAGAAATTGAATACTACTTCCAAATAGAAAAAGCTAATAATAGTTAATTTGAGGTTTTGTGAAGAATGTTGTCCTAAAAAGTTAAAAAGGCCAGGGTTTCGATTTTACTGGGGTCCACCTGAGTACCCTTGTAGACCCTTTCACGCTATAACCTCTTTCCAAATCTTTCCTTTTGTAGGGTAACCCATCCCAGATTGTGTCGTTGCTCTTTTATGTGACTCATGAGGGAGACAGCCACTTCCAACCCGTCATCCAGAAAAATGCGCTTACAGCACTCCATGGCAATACACCGGAACTTGGTTCGTTTACAATACACTTTGCTCGTCCAGCTCGAGTGGTGTTCTCGTCGTTTCTTGCCGCTCACACGCCAAACGTGCACTCAGTAAAGGATATTGTGATGCAGAACATGCGAATGGCTAAACTCAAGAATAAAGTACAGCTTCTTTCATTGGGTGGCCATGTGACGAGCCGTGACCAGGAAGGGCGTGAATTGCCAGTGAACTTGTTTGTTCAGCAATGGACACTTGAGCTCCCTTTTGATATGGAGATTGCCTTTGAATCTGGAAGTTTCGTAACCAGAGGGGTACGGTTACTAGGGTCAACATTTGCAAGTCTCAAAGACGAGCTCAGCTCTGAGTTTGATAGAAAGTTTGAGGAGAAGTTTCCGCTCTCTGCTGAAGGGTTCAGCACTGATGAGGTACAGTTTGCCCAGGCGGCGCTGAGCAACATGGTTGGAGGGATCGGATATTTTTATGGCAGCTCAAGAGTGATTTCTCGGTATTTTAAAGAACCAACAGATTACTGGAACAGTGCATTGTACACTGCAGTTCCTTCCCGTCCGTTCTTTCCTCGGGGATTCTTGTGGGACGAAGGTTTCCATCAACTGCTCATCAGCCAATGGGATGCTAAAATCAGCAAGGACATCATCGGCCATTGGCTGGATTTGATCAATATCGAAGGCTGGATTCCGAGGGAGCAGATCCTCGGCGACGAAGCACGAACGAAGGTGCCCTCGGATTTTGTCGTGCAGCACAACGAAAATGCAAACCCACCAACCTTGATTCTGCCAATCAAGTGGATGCTGGATAAAGGCGTATTGGACGATACGTATCTACGAAAGATTTTTCCACGGCTAAAGGCTTGGTTCAATTGGTTTAACACCACTCAACTGGGTAAGCTTCCGTCAACGTACAGGTGGCACGGACGAGATGCCAAGACTGACAAGGAACTGAATCCCAAGACACTCACGTCTGGATTGGATGACTATCCACGTGCGTCACACCCCTCGGATGACGAACGTCACGTGGATCTGCGATGCTGGATGGCGTTTGCCGCTGGTTTGATGGCTGACATTGCTAAAGCTGTCGGTGAGAACTCAGACGCTGTGCTCTACAGATCGACTAGTGACTATCTCTCTGATAACAAGCTGCTGGACAAGTATCACTGGTCCTCGAAGGCGGAAGCCTACAGCGATTATGGAAATCACACCAAGCTTGTCAAGCTTGTCCAACGAGCTATCCAACCATCTCAACCAGGAAGCCCAAAGAAAACGGTCCGTATTGTGACTTCTAAGCAGGGTCCTACTCTTAAATATGTTAATGCTGTCGGGTACGTAAGTCTGTTTCCTTTCCTGCTTCAAATATTGGACCCCGCGTCGCCAAAGCTCGAGAAAGTCCTGAAGGATTTAAAAGACCCTAAACGTCTCTGGAGTGACTATGGTTTGAGGTCTCTAGCAAAGAGTGATCCGATCTACAAGAAATACAACACTGAACACGATGCTCCTTACTGGCGAGGAGCTATCTGGATTAACATCAACTTTTTAGCTGTTAGAGCTTTGAATCACTATGCTGGTACTACAGGACCTTATCAGGAGAAAGCGAAGGAGATTTACACCGAATTACGGAACAATCTAATTAAAAACATATTTAGTGAGTACACAAGATCGGGCTTTATATGGGAACAGTACGATGATACCACAGGACGCGGAAAAGGTTCACATCCCTTTACAGGATGGTCCTCTTTAGTAGTGCTCATGATGTCAGAACACTTTTAACGTTTAGTTTTTTCTATAATTATACTTCTCTGTGTGTGTACTGTGAGTTCACATTCGATCACATTTTTTCTTATTAAGTAATGTAGGTAGGTTCAATTTGTAATTTATTAAAAATGAAATCATATCATACCAGATTAACTCTAATGCTAACTCTATTTTAAGCCACGTTTAAAAATGTATTCGTTCCTGGGACCGCTCACAAAAGGTCATTTCCCAGTACCCCGGGCCTCTGTATCAAAATCAGGTTAAGTGCTCAGCCTTTGATATGGAGAAGATTCTTCATTCTCATGAAAATAAAACTCATTCTTTTTCAAGGCTCTGCACTTGGCCTCATTTTAAAAGTGAGGCTTTTTTGAACTCGGAAGTGGCCTAGTTGAGTGGCCTAGTAGAGTGCCGCAGTTGTGGAATTTTTGTGTATTTTTTTGTTAGTTTCTTGGTGTTCCGGACGGCTGGAATAACTAAACAACGTAATAGAAAAGATTGAAAGACCCTAGACAATACTCCCATCACAACACAAAAGCCAACCAACAATGATATTCGGAACATCAAAAAACACCCTCTTTTTCAAGGCTATCCTTTCGTGCCAATTTCTTAAACAATCACAAATAAAACTACAGATACTAGTGACTCGCTTGCTCGAGTCTTAATGCATATTTATTGACAAATTACTGAGGCACCTCTTTAGAAACAATAGATTCTTACCCGGCATTATTTGTCATGTTTACGTTTCTCCTTTCCCGCATTCCTGTGAACAAAGGCACCAACTCGAGGCTTGGGTTGACAGAATAAAGAGATTTGTATCAAACTGGGGAAAGTGATTTCGCTGTCCTCGGATCTTGAGGTCCCAAGCACAATCGTATGATGATGATAGGAGTGACACTGGGTTAGGAATAACGGCATATTTACAATCTTTTACTGATAAATGGGTCTGAACCCTTCTAACAATGGCGAAAGGAAAAACTCCAAAAATTCGATGCTATTTCTTTTCATGAAATACTAACAAATATACAGTACTGAATATAAATAGTATCGCGTGAAAGTACTGTTGAAGAGGTTTCATTTGAATGGTAACACCACAGGATTTCGTCCACAGATTTAAAAGTTAGTGTGAAAAATGACCTCGCCATAACTTGAACTAGGAGACAAAACGGGTTTAAATTGTCTTCGCGGCGGTTGCGCGATCGTCAGTCCACCATTATCAAAATGCACAAGGACGAACAATGTCTATACAAGACGGATCATCTAATTTTCCTTGTGCTATGATCTTTACAGGTTTGCACAATTGAGTTCAATGCATTACGTTTCCAGTGCTCGTGTCAGATACAACTGAAAATTGCTATCATTGGTCTTTCCTTTTCAACTCGAGGCAAAAGGAAATCGTTCTCTCTCCATCTCGGTCGTCTTGGATACCACATAACAAAGGCGGAAAGAGACGGAAAAGCTTCCTTCAGTTCTGCTTTTCCTCTCAGTGCCTCGGAAATGCATTTACTTCAGGTTGTCTGTTCAGCTGGATGGAGAATATTACTAGTTGAACTGAAAAGAAAAAAAAAAATCAAAAATGCAAGCTCATGTTACTGTATTTCTGGTTTACTGTGGGTATAGGGGTAGGGGTACGAAAAAATACCACTGAAAATGTGCCCTGACTCTGTGTGAAACAACAATGGGGTTGCTATTGATTGTAAATGAGGTTTTACCCTAATGAAAGATACAGACAAAATTCAGCTACGTTCATACCAGTTAAACTATCAACCTCGTCCCCAGGGCTTTTCCCTTAAAAAATGGGTGGGGCCCCACCCATTTTTTAAGGGAAAAGCCCTGGGGACGAGGTTGTTAAACTATGAGGGCATCCAGTAAGCACTATGTTTTCGCATTTCTTTCAGTATGGCTAGCTCAGCTTTGAAAAGGTTTTTTTTCTCAATATTCACCAATTATTGTTGACAGCCATGATTTAGCCTTATGCCGCGTCCTATGTTTCGTCCCAGCCTAATTAAGAGTTTATTACGGAAGCATGCTGTCTAGAACTAACTTTTGATTACGGACTGTGGACTAAATCTTTTAGTGAGACTATTCAAATAAAGCCTCTTCAATAGGAGTTTTGCATGGTGTAAATGTTTCATGGAATCCTACAACTGAAATGAAATGCGTTACCTATTTTTCAAAATTATGGATTCGGACACCTCTTAACTGGGAGAGAAACGGCGCCACATTCACCAGCAATCCGCGTTATCAAACTTCAGATTAGTTTTCTACAATAATTAACAGCGTTTTCGGTAACAAAAGTCAACAGACCAGGTCAAACTCCTGAGTTTGCTCCTCTTGCTTCGGAGAATAATGCTGCCTTCGTCGCTCATCTTTCAAACAAAAAAGAAAGAAAGAAAGAAAGAAAGAAAGAGAACTAAATGAAGTTTCCCTTGAAGAAAAAAATGATGTAAACAAATGAGGTTAAGGGTTGCGCTTGGGACTGGGTCTGTGTCGTGTCTAATGGCATTATGGGATTGATTTGGGTACTGTGGCGCTTCTTTTCTCGGCGATTACTTACCTAGTCCCTGTACGACGTTTTCCCTGGTATTCTCGGTCAATGCATTTCGAGACAAACGGCCGGACCACGTGATCCGAAACGCGTAGGACGCGCCGAATCTATGAGGCCTAGGGACTAGGCAAGACTATTACGAGTAACATGAAAATTCGTTCCCCAAAACAGTCGCATAGTGCAGCTTAACGCTAACAACACCGTACCAGCGTCATGCGCAACCACAAAAAATTGATTGGAGACTGTCTAAAGCGCTTACCGAGAACAGACAAGTCACTAAACATGATGTCTATACGTTTCCTGCCAAGAATAAAACAGCAAGAGAGAATTAAAATGTGTTTAAGATTCAGTTTCTGGGGGAGTTCAGTTATCGTACTCTTTTAGGTTCTTCAATTTCCATCACTTTCAATTAATTTTTCCACGACCTTGAGCTTAGCTGTCGGCACTTCCACTTTCCTTATTTTCGGGTACTTTTTGACCTAACTCAGTTCAACAAACAAAAACTCTGGTGTTCATGATAATGGTTGCCGCTCGCGCTTTTTAAATACTCGTCTCTATCTTACATTACCCTCGCTTTGACATCTGCAGTAACAAATCTGCCAAACACAACCTGCACTTCCCATGACTTTCCAGGAACGACAATTAAATCCCATGACTTTCGAGGCCAGGGACCCGTTTCTCGAAGCTCCCAGTAATTACCGGGCCCGTTAAGCTGTTTTGTTTTCCATTTTAGAAGGGAGTTTTAAAAATTTTGAAAATTATACAGTAGAGTTATTAGCTAACGAAACAAAATGGACTTCATTAGAAGTCAGAACACACCCTACTTTTCTTGAGACTTTGATTTAAAAATGTGATTCCGGGCCCGTTAAGTTACCGGGACTTTCGAGAAACGGGCCCCTGGAAAATGAAATTCTTACATTTCATGACTTTCCAGGTTTCCCACGACCCTTACGAACTCTGGGAGTTGAGGAGCCGCTCCACTATAGCTCATTGAACAGTGTGTCCGCTCTTACGAACGAAATTTTTTTACTCACCTTTCGGACGTAGGAAGCTTACATACGTCATAGATCGTTAAACGCCTTTTCCTGTTTAGGTTGTATCCATACTTGGCCATGAGTTCAAAAACTTGCTGAGAATAAAGGGACAACACATTTTACACATTCAGCGGTGCTGTTTTATTTAGGAAAGTCACGATTCGACTTCTTTTGTGTGTGTGAGCGTAGCAACCAATAACGCTCCTAAACACATAGAGGACTGAGGTCAATACTCACCACTACTCTGTCCTGGTCACCATCGTTCATAGACTTTAGTAAAATGTCGTTAAGTGCGGAGTATCTGAAGAGAAGAAAAAATAGGTTTTTGCAGTTGTCAAGTTATTGAAGTGACGTACGAAGTGACGTACGACGCCCCTGTCTCCTTTCATGTGTTAAAGACAACGAGCGACGGCAGAATTAGCTCAGTTGGTAGAACGCTTGACTGCAGAGCCGGAGGTCGCGGGTTCGATTCCCGAGACCAAATCAATACTCAAGGTCGTAAAATAACTGAGAAATGAAGGTACTCCCTTTGCATTGCAAATGGCTAGACCTTCGCGGGGCTTGGATAACCACGCAAAATGGCGGTCCGGTCTCCAGTAGGAGACGTTAATATAGTGTCCCTAATTAGTATTTTCATGCTTAATACATTAGACACTCGAATAAAGTAAATCCTTTTTAACTTTAGCCACCTGGGAAGGTTGTTCGACACACTAGGTTACTGCTGAAAAGAGTCGAAAGAACATTCTTGAAGTACTTACATTGGTACTGGGATTTTGGTGCTCTTAAACATGTCCAGTGCTTTCCTGAAAAGATACAAGCAATTCAGGCTCTTCTGTAGCGAGACATTCGCGTTTCGCGTATAACGGTACCTTAACTAGAAAACAAGCTACAGGAACCCCATTCTCCGAAGAGTAACCGTACAGGAAGACACGGGCCGAAAATTGACCAATCACAGAGCTAGGAATGACAACCTTGCAACAATGTGACGATACAAAAGAGAACATTGTCGTTCAAAATGAGACATATTCACGCTCACATCCTCTCTTTGCTTCCAACAACACAAAAGATTGCATCTCCCAAGAATATCAGGGGATAAAAATCAGGCAACAGAACAAACAAGCGGTTAGCATCTACTAATTAACCCGGCTGCTTTGGGGCACAATGTGCGTGCAAGTCGCCAGATGCTCGTGGGTCTGGTGAAAACGCAACTCATGCACTTCCAGGGTTGAAAAACTCACCACGCTTCGTCGAGTTGATCATTCTTACAGTACATTCGGATGAGCTGTGCGATGATAACATGAGTGATCCTACAATAAGAAAATGTATGATCGGTGAGTTTGTTTGAACAGTCGAACCTCTCGTAAGCGACCACCCAAAAACCGAGGACGTAGTGGTCGCTCACAGGAGGTGGTCGTTTTCAAGAATCGAACAGGTGTCTAAGGGACGATAACAAGACACCGCAATCACAAAGTAATAATGAAAACCAAAAGAACTTACTCTAGTCTGTACATCCTCATCCAACGTAAGACGTCGAGCATTGTAGAGAGGTTTGACGGGATATGCTATACAACAGAATCATGAAGAAACTATGAAAATAGGAACTAAACTGAAAATGGCAAAAGACAGTGTTTCGATCGCTAGCTCCTCGTGACTGGTCAGTCGTTAAGACTGGCGTTGACCACAGTCAGGGACTTACCATGCCTAAAAGGTTAGCCCTGAAAATGCCAGCTTTTGAATTACCAGTCACCTTAGAGACCTTAGATGGCAAAACCAATTTTTCCACATTCTATAGACAGACCTATTTGGGCTTAAGGCCCAAGACAGGTCCGGCATAGTAAATGTCCACGACGCAAGCAAAGCAACGGACAATAATCGCAGGCACAATGACCCTCTAATCCATTCCTTCCGATTATTTCCTGACAAAAGGTTTCTTTTTCTGCACTTTACTGAGTCTGCGTAGTGTTGTTTGTGGGTATCCTACGAGTTATTTGTACACAAGGCTGTCTCCTCAACACAGGTCCCTTTGGCCCCTTTGCGACGTAAGGAGGCTGGGGAGAGGGGAAAAGAAAGCGCGGGTTGACCAAAAACACGCGCCAACTATCTTTTAAAATTACTTTCATATTTGATTTTTTTCCCAGGGCGAACCTCTGCGGAGGAGAGAGTAAACAATAGAGAGATTTGGAGTCATGTCTACGGCAAACGGCAAACGTAAATTTGTACCACCTGAGCAATATTTTGCCTTTACTTGTCGTTTTCTGTTCATTACTTCTACACAAATATTAGTAGCTTCACGACAGTTTTATCCAAAAGAATTGTTTTAGACTTTTTTTTCAGCTCATTTTCTTTTTTTAGAAATTCTCAACTTGAATCTGAAGTTTGCGTGACTCAAAAAGAGAGATTAAGCAACCCGTTCAGTACGGCAAACGGCAAACGTGAGATTCAAGTTGAGAAAGTTTCAAAATGAGTAATGAGTAGATAAAAACAGCTTAAAACAATTCTTATGGATAGAATTGGCGGGAAACTACCGATTTTCGTGTAGTTATAACGAACAGCAAACGACAAGTAGATGGAAAACTTGGTCACGGGCTACAAATTCACGTTTGCCGTTTGCTGTAAACGCCATGCTTAATCTCTCTAATATCTCTAATGTCTGAGTGTTAACGCCGAAGTCGTATCCTTATCCTGAACATTGACTGATGAATTGAGACACAATTATTGACAATTAACCGACCTCAGGATCTGTTGTTCCTCCAAGTGCTCTAAACAGAGCTGTGGCTACAGTAGTGGTCAGCTGTACTCGATGTGTGCGCATGTCTGTTAAATACAAGCACAACAGAAAGGCTGATTATCACCTTAGTTGAATAATCAAAGGCATCCTTTGTGTTAGCAGCCAGAGACGAAGAATGGTTTTCTGGCAAACAGCGCTAGCAAGTAGACGATCTAGTGAAGAGGAAATTAATGATTTCTGATGATGGCAAAATAGTTTAATACATGCAAGTCACCTTCATAGAATCTCTTCACAACTCCCGGGTTGTTGGTCCTGCTTGCTAAGTTAAACAGAGAAGTGTAGATGTGTTCCTTTGGTCTAAATTTCTAAGGAATAGTATGAAACAAATATTAATTGAAATTAGTATGTGGTGAAAGAACCAAATACAGACACAGATCTACAAGAACTAGCTATTTTCCTTTTTTTTCCATAAACGTTTTTGCTAAAAACAACGAGAAAACCCATTTAACTTACATCTGGTACGATTTCTTTGTAATAGTTGTACAGGAGATTGAAATCAGCTTCAGCTGTTGTTAGGGTCAGAAGAAAAGCCGAGCTGCCAATAAAATGGAATAAATAAATTCAATAAATAAATAAACAAATAAAGTGAAGTAAAATATAATGTCCTAACGACTAAGTACTGCTCACCGTACAAAAAGAATTTAAGTAAAAAAAAATAGTAATAATAAAACATTGGCCACGAACGCTATTCCTATTGGCTATTCCTGTTGTCAAGTGAGTCTTACCAAGCAAATGGCTAGCTCTTAAATGTTCAGCTTTAAGGTAGTGTCTATGATACTGAGGCCACTTAACGTTATAAAGTCGGCCTTTCACGACTCAAATATCCTAATTAATTTAGTAATTAATTGCCCTTAGCACTGCTTGCATGCTGGTTTCAACGCGCGCTAAACACTGCACTAGCTCCATGCATACTTACTAAAATGGAGCCTGTTTTTCACTGAGGTAAGCTGGGTTGTTTTGTTTCTCTGCCAGGTTGTATATACGGATTGCTAGCTTGACATCGACGCATAATAGAGCCTTGAAGAAATCAAATAATCCAGTTGAAAGGAATTAGTAAAACAAATCAGACAATACCATGCAAGGAAACAATAACCAGACAGAGAGGAACATTTGCAGGGATGTCTTACGAAGATCCTTTAAGAAACTAAACCAGAAGATGAATCAATATTCAATAACTTTTGAAATTGCTACATGAGCGGGAGACTTCTTCTCTGTCCTGCCAGCTCATAACACACGAATGTGGGAGAAATGTAATGTGTTTGAGAAGTCAATCTGCATCTTTCGGGAAGGAAAGCGGTTTCAGTGTGACTACAGGTACTTTGTTTCTTGTCAGCTAAGTGCGTCGAAGTTAAAAGAATTGAAAACGGACAGCTGAGCACAGTCAAATTCCACAGAGGAGTAAAAAAGGGTATGAGAGGGTTGCGTCTTGCATGCTTTCCTAAGGGAACATCAGCGCAACCGTGTTTTAACTTAACTTTTAAAAAGAAGATGACCTACCGCACTCATTGCTGTACGGAAGAAAAACGCTGAAATAAGAAAAGAAAGAGAATCAAACTGCACGGTATCCATCACATTGCTACCAGGACTAAGACAAAAGCACATCATCATTTGGTTTACGCAGGCTGCGTTGAGTGCCGCACTTGAATCCGTAGTTGTACGGCTTTTTGCCTTTAAGATCTAATTGGTGTGTCATATTTAACGTGATTTTTATGACTTGACCTCGGTATTAACGCAGCGGGCCAATCTCACCATAGAATTCCCATAAATTTCGTACAGCACAATCTGACAGTACAGGACAATTTAGGAGCCTCAGCAAATCACATTTAAATAAGAATTATTGCCTACCATCCTCTGGGTCTTGTAGGGGCGGCAGTTGAGGTAACGATTCCAGATGTGTAATGACTTTGTTCAGTACCTCGGGACTTATCATCATCCTCATTCGAGGTTCTGAAAAAAATCAAGCAAGTGATAAAATTACTTACTGGTATTGATTACATGACCTGCCAGACGTCTTAGGGTAAATGAAAGAGCACTTGATGTTAGCAACCCGAATTATAGACCGACCAGACAGCGCACGCCTCAGTTGTTCAAAAGTTGTCTAATTCTACAAAGTCAGTAAATCACTGTCTATTAGATACGTATTAGCAAAACTGACTGCACTGGATAGAGATTTACGCAGTGGATATTGAACAACCAGGGTTGGAATGCGACCTCTTCGGCTGCTAGTGCGGGCGATGACGTCTTGGTTAGAAAATCGATTTTCATGGTATGCTTTGCGTTGTAAGGCCCCATGACTGGTTTTTTAAGTCAGTGAGTACAGTCTGTAGGTGCATGGTGATTTCCGTTTTAAAAAAACTTACCATCATTCAATCGTTTTCGTTTCTTGGTTTCCCAATACTTAATGTACTCAGCTCGAAGCAACTGATTGTAGGTTTCCATTGATGGCTCTGAAGAGTCAATGCATTGAAAACAAACAAACAAACAAAGTTGCTGTAGAGCACAAAGGCTTAGTTCAAAACAAATATCCAAACCCTTTGGTGCAGCCTCTCACGCAGGCGTTTTTAGTGGAGTCGTATTTCCTCTAATACGTTCCCTAAAAATGCCTACGTGGAAAGCTTCTTTTGGTGGGAAATGCGTGCCCTTGTGCAGTGGCGGATCCAGGAGAGGGGCCCGGGGGGCCGCCCCCCCTCATTTTTAGACCAAACTGAACAGAATTTTTTGGAGACTGCCCCCCCATCCCGCTTATCTCCAAGTCTGGATCCGGCACTGCCCTTGTGTGCAATGTATACAGAACAAATTTATAGGAAACATGTTATTAGCTTTTCGAACAAGTTTAGGATAAATAAATAAGTTCGGATCTGTACGGCAAAACACGATATTCACGGCGGACACCCTAAGCCAGTGTTCCCTCTGTTACCTGTAATTTTTGAATTTCAACCGCGTGAAAAGGCGGAAATATTGGTGACAAAACAATACATTTCTTCCGCAGAATTTGCATGAAAATGTTTTAGGAAAAGTCAGGCACTTCCATAAGGCGACAGGATTTTTCATTCGTTAATGATTTTATCTCAATTGAACTCCCTAAAAGACGGCTAAGACTCAATGGCGGATCTCTAAAGTGTAACTCGTACCATAAGGACTCTGTTTAAATCAGCTTCATGCTAAACCAAATGTTCCTGTATAAATAAATAAATTAATCAATAAACTAATTAAGGAAATTTATTTTATAGCTTACCCAGTCCAGCAGCCATCATATCTCTGATCAAACCAAACGCTAGTTCAGTAGCCGAAATCTCTTCATTTGCGCTTACCACAGCTACTTTCATGAGAGCGTTATAGGTTTCTACAAAAACAAATAAATAAATGAATAAAATAAAATAAAAATGCACTTCATTTGAGTGTTGTGTTCAACAGGAAAGTAAATAAATAATTGCGGACAATATTTTTACGACTCCACTGAAGACGGGACCGCTGTTTGAAGTGGTCATCCGAGCCACGCGAAGGTCTAGTCGCTCGCAGGGCAAAGGCAGTGCCTTCATTCTCCGTTATTTTAAAACCCTGAGTGTTGGTCTGGTCCCGGACACTGAATTGATGCGAAGACGCGTTTTAGCTTTTTGAAAAAATGGCAAAAAACGTGATAAAGCCCCTTTAAGGGGTATACACTTACTAAGGTTGGGCAAGACAACAGGCTCTTCACCCATACTCTTCACCAAACCCTGTCAAAGAAAAGAAACGAAAACAGAAGTATTAATCATTTTCATAATATTTGATTTCTTAGTCAGCATGGTCGCTTAGGGATAGGGAATTTCTCTTTGAGTTTAACATGAAAGAAACGTTTACGAATGGTGCGTCAATGTTTGGATAATTTTTCGGAAGATTTTTCTCCAAAAAAAAAAAAAACATTAAGACATTCAGACAATTCTTGGGAAAACCAAAAGATTTAACCGACGTGACAGTATTGATATTTTCACTCTTTACAGCTCGGACCTGTTCACCTCAAACTTTATAATGTGTAATATTCATTTCACTATGAACTATACAGACCAGGAGGGTGACAAGTCGCCATTGCAGTTTTTACTAAATATCACACAACTCTTAAACCAACCTGTGCTTTTTCCCATTTTGAATCAATATAATTAGATCTTGAAATTGCCTTGAACAGCAAGTTGTATGTAAACAGCGAAGCTACCGGAAAACAAAATAACATAAAAATAAATGCAAGTATAAATAGATAAGAAATGAGCTGATCACTGCCTAATTAAATAGAAAGTAAGAAAATTAGATCCATAATGGCCTGCATGGCACCCCTTTTCCCTCTTGTTAACTTTCCCACCCTCCCCCCGCCTCGCTCCCCTTTTTGCGCCTGACACTACCAAAACTAAGTAAATATACTAACATAGAGTGTGATACAATATTAAAAACGTTAAAGCTTAGTAACGTTAGGGAGCTTAAGCAACAACGACAGCGACGGCTACGAGAATGTCACTTAAAATGTGAATTCGCGCTGCCTCAAACTTTTTCGCGCTTATTTCATCTCGTTTAATTCGTCACATGTAAGCACATTTTTTGGAGTTGGAAAGGACTTGAAGGGACTGTATCAAAGTTCAGGAAAAGAAAAAGAAAGTTGTTGTCTCCTATTCCCGTCCTCGAGAAAACGTGAAATTAGGCACTTTCACGTTGTAGACGTGCAACGACGGCTAAGAAATGTACAGAAAAGCGTGATGCACGTGCAAAGTTGTTGTTTTGCCAATCTAACCCTATAACTTTTTTTGAGTTCTCGTTGCCGTCGCCGTCGTCGTTGGTTAAGCTCCTTAATATCTTTGTAACAGTTACCTCAGTTTAAATGTAAATGTGAAAAATGTAAATGAAATAGGCTAAACTCTCACTTTCAAAACGAGGCTAAGTGCAAAACCTTTTTTGTGAAAATGAGTCTCATTTGCATGAGAATAAACAATCATTTTCATATCAATAGCTTCGCACTTAGCCTCAGTTTGAAACAGAGGCTTGGGGCGACCCGGAAATTGCCCATTTGCTCATCCGCGAAACACTTTCCAGGGCTGTGTACTTGCAGTGCCCAGTGGCTCCTGGCCGCTAACTTTTGCCCCAGTCACTAGAAAATCTTAGTTTTTTCATAGAAATCACACACGGGGGCACCTTGGATTTCACAGGTTTAGAGCACTTGGCTCAATTCAATTTTTCTTAGAGCACAACCGTGACTAAGGAGCACTGTAAAAGCCATCTGAAAAGCTTCACGAGTTCTATACCGAATATTCCATTGGAATTTAGAAAGTAAGTGTTGGGTTTTGAGAAAGGTGGAAAACCAGAGTGCTCACCTTGATGGCCATGATCACGCATTTCGATGAAGAGATCATATGCATCACGGTAACATCGATACTGTAAATGAGAAAAGTATCTTGTTAGAATCTTATTAACACAGGGTCCTGACTAAGGAAAAAAAAGATATCTTGTTTCCCGAGAATTCAATGTTTTCTGAGGTGGAGTCAAGGGAAACACTTTTTAAGTCCCCCACCGCACAAATGTCTGTAAACTTTGTGACCTTGTGGAGCTTTGTTTCTGACATATATAATATTATTTTCAAACTTGGCACGATTACATGTACTAACTGATTTTTAAAGTGCTCTTTAAACAGTGATACTCAAATTCTCTAATTGGCATCTGTCAAAAGTTGAAAAAGAAGGGTTATTTAAACCACACCACCTACAATGTACATTATACACTTCTTTTTATTTAGCTTTCAGGAAATACCACACCTTTATAAATCCAAGAATCATAGCTTCATACGTTGTCGCATTTTTGGTTGTCATACTTTGAAACATCTGCATAGCATAGTTATCATTTCTGTAAAGACAATATCACATTTTGTTTTGCCTTGTCCTCCTAAAAGCTTTTATTTCATTAAGAAATCATGCAACTTTATTTCTTCAGTAAATTATCTATTGCTACATGTACCATCACGCAGTACACTACAAATAAAAATAACAGATCATCACAAAAAATGATCAGACTGCCTCAAACAAACATAATGGAATGATTTTCTGGAACACCAAAATGTTCTTTTTAATAATAACCTTTTGTATTTGTAGCACCATTAATATAGATTGATCAGAAGATTTTTACATTTATTTATTAATGACGATGGAGATTAATGAAAATGTGACAGATGTAATTATGGGTGTAATCACATTACTTCACTATTATTTTTAATATTCTATTTACCTCCACTCAGGTGTCACAGTTTTGCTTGCAAGCATCTCACTAGATGCTTTACCAGTATTCTACAAGAGGATGAATAAACCAAATCTAATACATCTAACTACAGTCAAAATCTCTTTAATAAGGATATGCTGTGCACAAAAAATACAAATTAAGACCATACATGTGGGTGTTTGGTGACCCTGAGGGGTCAAATAAAGCCTGAGATATGCCTAGTACCCTTTTGGGGGTTTAATTCTTTTTTTTCCTAATGAGAATTTCTATGCTTTTCATATGGGAATCCCCTAGGAGAGACAAACGGAGAAAACGAAATGTTGCCGTGGTATATATTACAGCCAAATAATTATGAATGATCAGATGGTGAACCTTCCCATGTTGTTTGGGACCTCAGAGAGAATTTTCTTTTCAATCACTATTTGAAGTTTTAGAAATAAATGAATAGAAAAATAATAAGTAATCACCTCTTGTTGTATTAAATCTGGATCTGAACCAGTAACATCATCTACACTTTCTATATTGTCTTCTTCAGGATCACCGCCCTGCATCTTTTCATCAAATTTTATTTCTTCCTGCAAGAATGACAAAGCATAAGTGAAACAAACATCCTTGAATGCTGAATGTGTTTTGTTGACTCCAGATAGCAGGTGAGGGAAACATTTTAGAGAGTCCAGGACATAACATTTACAATGCACAACACTTATCATACACCGTAATTCCAAAGAGTCTGTACTGTGTTTACCATTAGGCAGGATGTTATAGAAAACCATTTGCAACTTGTAGAGTTTTTAGATTGCCTTCACTTTTAAAAATGTACTCCCTTTTCTCAAAGCCAGTATGGCAAGAAATCTAGGGCAGCAAACAAAAATGAAATATATCTTTAACAAACAATGTGAACTATCTGCCAGGGGGCAAGTTCCTTTTGGGTTGCTACATTGAAAAGGCAAGCAATAAGTATTGTTTGAAGGATCTCTTAAGAGCCTCAGACCTGGCAAGTCTCACAACTTTGTCATCAGTCTCACAATTTTAGGACCGGTCTCACACTCTCACAAGTTGGCAACTGATTTCTCACACTTTCTCGAAAAGTCAATCTCCAAAAAAATCTTGGTTGCGTTTGATTACATTCTTTAAGCCTCTCGCGACTTGCTGTTGCCACCAAATGTGCAGACTTCCAGTTTCTTGTTTCAAAATGGCACCAACAAAACATAGAAATTACAAAACCTAAATCGTAAAATTGATTGTGATGTTTACTCCTCCAGCTTTAAAGTGATGCAGTGACTTCCAATACTAGTAATCTCCACTGAAAGTCCTTCCACTAGGAAATTTGGGACATCTCACGTCTTTTCACCCAATTCTCACTCCTTTTCCCAGCTCTAGGTACAGAATCTCACCATTATGCATTTTTTGCCTTTTGGGGGTAATGGCAAGTCTGGAACCTCAATTAATTTTAGGAGCTGCAGGGATGTCACTAAGATTTCAGGTTGCCAGGTAATTACAACAAGTAGGCAGGAAATAAAACAGCTAAGGATTTTTTTTGGTGCTTTGTTTCTTCTATTTTCCAAAGAAAGTAGCCAGGGGAAATCCCCAGCCCTCGCCTCTTAATGACAGTCTTGGAACTGGATATAAGGGAGGCCCCACCCACCTTGAGGTCTGGATAACCACCACAGCCCCAGCCATTCCTCCCTCCCCTCTGTTCCACAACTGCCTCAACACTCATTGTTTATAGTCTAAGAGATGTTGAGAATAAATTGTTTGACACACACCATATTAGGTTTTAAGACTAATTCCACTGGTATGTTTCCCAACTGGTTGGCAGCAAGATCCAGTAGCTGGTTCTGAGTGTTCAGTGATACTTCAACTCCTGAAATATGACACACACATCACCAAGATCAAAGACATAAACTTACAAGTACATCTGTATATGTTCACAGTGCTTGCCACAAAATTGTGTGAAAGAATAGGAAAAGAAAATTTTATCATAGTTCATTTAGTTCTATTGATGTATTGGGGGACATGCATGTAGTAACAATGGAGGGTATTCTTAAATGGTCAAGGACAAGTAAGCATCATTTGCACCACAACACAAAAAGGAAGGAAGCAAATTGTTCTTTAAAATACGGTGAATAATGAAAATTCAACTCAATTTTCGTTAAAATATTCCAGAAGGTGCTTAATGATGACTTTACGTCCTAACTGTATCACAACATGCTAAATTAAATAGCTTCAAGAATGCTCCAAGGTCACCAAAACATCTTTGGACATTTTCAGCAATGTTTGGAAGTCTTTGGAAAATCATCGTAAATCTTTGGAAGTCACTGGGACATTTTTAAAAATGAAAATCTCATACATTTGACTCCGAAAAAGTTGGCAAGTATTAACATGTATGGAGCTTTGGTTGGGTTTGTTATCAAGTGAACTGGAATGTACATTTGTGCCCTAACAGAATTGAAAATAGTAATAATAATAATAATATTTAATACTTATATTGCGCTTTTTCTATAAAAATACTCAAAAGCGCATTACAATATTATTAATAACTAAATTAAAAACCAGTAAAATTACCCGGTAAAATTACAATATTTAAAAAAAATAAATAAATAAATAAATAATCTAATGCCTTCTTAAATAAATATGTTTTGGAGCGATTGATGTTTTGTCTTATTGGCAGAGGAAGACTGTTCCATTTGCGATCTCCCAAAGTCTTCTTCGTTCTTTATCAAGTGAACTGGAATATACCATTTTGTTATGGCCCTAACAGAATAAGACAGACAAATAGCTATTCTCTTTAACTGAAAGCACTCTGTTGGATACAATGTAGCACATACATGTACATGTACTACAACTGTATCTTCTTTTTGAACAACTGGGGCTATGTAGGTTGGTCAAGATAAGAAGGAGAGACATACAAACATCTTGTAGAAGGACAGAACTAAAGGAATCAATGCACATGGTCACTCACAAACATACATCCATGACCTCCCGTGTCTTTCTTTCAAATTTCTTTGCAGAACAGTGAACTCAAAACCATCCACCATACCTTTTGGGATCACCGCGTGTACTTTTTCCGACAACCTTTCTCGAAATAGCTGTATTCAACTACAGCACACGTGTACTGTTTAAAATGACATACAGTCAGAAAGAGAGTGGTGCTGATAAAACAACGTTGATCAAGAATTTTTTACAAAAGTAGTAATTAAAACATTTTAAAATGCCTAACCTTGCTCTTTGAGACTTTCATAAGACAGGATAGCATTCCTAGCATCGTGTACTTTGATAAAACCTGCAAACAATACTGTAGATTAGAATGCCAAAAATGTCTTTGGATTTTGGGTTTTTCTGTGATGTCAATCAAAATCTGAAGGCTCGGTACTTTCTTAGCGGACCTCTTAGGAAACAGAAGTTTACTTCAAAGGGTTCAAAAGGTGATGATTTGCGATTAGTGATTCTGGTGAATTCGATCTGTTTTATGTGTTTCTGTGTTTGAAGGTTTTTTGCTTTTGAACTTTAGAGTTTGCGTGTTTTCATGTTTTCAGAGCTCTTAAGATTTTCTACCTTCTTACTGAAGTAGGGCAAGTTTAGATTCCCAAGGTGAAATTGTTCCTATTGAGCTGCCAAATCCAGAAGATTAAACACAGATATGGTGTAGGAGGGATGAAAACAAATCAGTATGTTCCCGCCAACATTTAATTCTGCAGCTTCTGCTCGATATTGCTGCCTTTATTAGACAAGCAAGTATTGGATGTTATATATATGGCAACAGTTTGATTGGCGTAGAAGAAAAACCCAAAGTCCCGAAAAAGTTTTACAACACAGGTCGCATGTTATGCAAAACAGCTGTAAACAAATAAAACATTTACCACCGCAAACATCATAATGACAGCCCGATCCTGAACAGACTGTCATCAGTAACTTTTAAGGCAAGCGAGATTGATTACTAATGAAAAATGTTTTGCATTCTAACTACAAATATTCTTAAAAAGGTAAAACACATGGCTATGATATTGATTTGTTCACTATTTACTACCAGCTTGGCAAATTTATTCAGTTCTTGGCCTGAAAGTAAAATAGGTTTGGGAAACAATAATAATTACAGTAGCTCTAGAAATTCATGTGGGCTGAACTGAATGAAGCAAAACAAAGTTGTGTGAGTTAAATAATTCACATTAAAACTGCTTGGGGAAATTATGATTCTTAACCCATTCACTCTTGAACTTGACCACACAAGAAACATGTCATGTCACACATTGATTGTAAACTCACCTTTTAAATCTTTTTCAGTTTTTACATCAGTAACTTTTTTAACCAGGTCCTCTGTGATCCACATCTACCATGGAAACAAGAGTCAAGGCCCCGGTTGTTCAAAAGTTGGATAGCGCTATCCACCGGATAAATCGCTATCCAATGGAGAAGTATTACGAAAACTAATTGCACTATCCACTGGATAGTGATTTATCCAGTGATTATATTATCCACCTTCTGAACAACTGGGGCAAGAACTATAGAGTTTGGGATTTCATCAGTTAGATCATCAGTACACTAAGATTAAAGTGGATAAAGAGATTCTTTTATGATTGACAGTGATCAATAAATCCATACCTGGTATTCTGTAACTAGTTTATTATAACTTCAAAGGTATATTGAACAATTCATGTACAAATGGAACCCTGACCCACCTGGCTCTTTTCCATGACAAGTTATTTTTCTAGTAAGGAGTGATAATAATGTACACCTTTATGTAACAGGAAATTGTACAGTGTCTAACATTCACTTCACATACCTCTAACAATAACAAAAAACTTACAGGATTTGGTTCTCTCAGAGGAAACATCTCGGGACATCTAGAAATAACAAATGCTGCTGCTTCACGCCCCGACTGTTTTGCCATTAAACAGGCCTCCTACACAACAAAAACAAAAGTGAATATTGATCAAAGCTCTAGTCAGGACAGGCAGTCGAAAATGTATGTTAGCACCTTAAATTTCGCCACCTTGTCAGCCATGGAATTTTGTTTTATATACACCTTGCTTATACAAAACTTTAAGTCCTGGTAATGAGTATAATTAATTTAAACAAACCTGCTTAGCTTTGGACCTTGGTAACAAGAACATGTCTTCAATAAACTCAGGATTTGGTAAATTAGGTGCCTGCAAAAAGGACACAAAACAAAAATGTATCGCAGCTAGGGCATTAAATAAAGTTGACATATTCATGGATTCTTTTAAAAATAATAATAACAGTACATACTGGTTTTACAGTTGATGCCAGAGCTTTAAGTACAGCCAGAGGATCTCTGAAATAAAGCAATACTCCTATTGTCAAAAACTATATCAAACTTTCCTAATAAGGCCACATTTTCCAAATTTGCCACCATAATTTGAGATGTTCAAAATAAAAATAATCTGTACCACATGTAATGTAGTTTGACAACATAACTGACATTAATTTTGAGTTTTTGTAACAAGACACATTTACAAAGAGTACATACTGGTAGTATAAAGTGTAAACCCATTTCAGCCTACAAATCAACTTTGAAAACTCTTAAAGCCTCATTAATTGGCTTTTGAATCACAAAGAAACAGGGAACTGGATAAATAAGAAGTGCAGAGCGGCTGTTGTTCACTGGCTTTCAGATATATAGCGGAACCTGATGATCAATGAAAGGATGTCGATGAATCTCAGATTCTCAGATCAATCATGCTTTTTTCATACCTGAATAAACCGTAGACAGTACATGGGTGAAGATGCTCAAAATAAGTTGTAAAATAATTTGTATGCATGTAAACTAAAATCAAAGTTTATTACTACTTTGTGGCTATTTAAAATGTACCAACTTATGCTTTGTAAATTTCATTCTAAATTAATCTCAACAACAGTGTATATGATAGTGAAGCTTACAGTGCATTGTAACATGTATTCACTACAGTAACTATATAACATCAATTAACTTACCTATTCTTGGCATATGAGGTCCCAATACCTGAAACAGACAAAAGCTTCCTTGTAATAATGCAGTCAATGCTGGCTTTTTTAAACTTGCCTTACATGTACAACAAAACTTTGACCCTGTGTAAAGGGAATCTTAAATGCTTGTGATACTAGTAAGAACAGAGTAACAGTAAGTCTGAACTCACTTTGTTCTTCACTGACTTCGAATGATGGTGACTTGGATGGTGCTGTGCATAATAGTCTGAAAGAAAATAATCTCAATACATAATTTATTTCAAATTTAACCCTTTCTTTCCAAATAGTGGGCAAAAGAAAAAAAGCTACAAAAAATTTAAACAAATTTCATTTTGTGAATCCTGGTAAGAAATAAACAGTACCAACAAGGCTGTAATTAAGTTTTGAAGCAACCATAGCAAATGATGTTTCACCTGTAACATCTCACAAAACTTTATAGTGCCACTTTTTCAGTGCCGTAGCATGGGGAGGGGCCGAGGGGGGCTTGGGCTCCCCGAATAATTTTGACAGGCACGTTTAATTTGGTCAGCGGCCATGCTCTTCATGCTGCTCTTCTGTTCACTGTGTTCATTTCGGTTCGATAAAGCGTGAAAATTATTTCTTTATGGCTTCAACAAAGGAAAATCATGCTCTCGGAAGGCTGAAAATGCTATTTCAAAGACCCTACATTTCAAAATCTTACGAGGGAGCATGCCCCCGGACCCCCCTAGCAGCTCGCGTCTTCGGCGCTCATGATTGGCGCCCCCTAATAAATCTAACCTTGCCACAGCACTGCTTTTGCTTTCCACTTTGATCACCTGTAACATCAAGTGAGCTCAGCCGTAACAGGTGTTACAGGTTACGGTCCTTAATGACAGCTTTGGTACCATGTATGCAAAAGTTCTACCAAAGACATTTCATTTGAACAGTAACATCACAGGATTTTGTTCACAGTTTTGACAGATACAATTATAAAATGTTGCAATAACAGCTTGGTTTGTTCATTAAAGGGTTAATGAGAGAACACAAAAACATGACGTGTGCTTATTGCACTTGCAGAAGAAGAAAAAATAAGTATCTTCCTAACGCATAACCGATCTACCAA